AAAGATATTGATGAAAAATGGTAAAAAGCAAACTTCAACTTTGACCTTGAATATTTTCTAAACGGTGATAGTTAGAGAGCTCAATTATGTCTTTAAATAATCATCATTTAATCACCTTTCTATCGTGAAAATATCAGATTTTACAATCATTCCTAAGTGCCTCAAATAATTAATTTAACTGACCTCCATTTAATCGCTGGTACACAAAAATATGAAACTTTGACTAGCTGTTACTTTTGAACCGTAAGTCTGGGGAAGATGAATGAGGTACCAATGGATACATCTCATCAGTAGGTTTATTTCTTCTTTAGACATCAAAGCAAGTTTATGAAACAGAAAAAAAGATATTGATGAAAAATGGTAAAAAGCAAACTTCAACTTTGACCTTGAATATTTTCTAAACGGTGATAGTTAGAGAGCTCAATTATGTCTTTAAATAAACATCATTTAATCAACTTTCTATCGTGAAAATATCAGATTTTACAATCATTCCTAAGTGCCTCAAATAATTAATTTAACTGACCTCCATTTAATCGCTGGTACACAAAAATATGAAACTTTGACTAGCTGTTACTTTTGAACCGTAAGTCTGGGGAAGATGAATGAGGTACCAATGGATACATCTCATCAGTAGGTTTATTTCTTCTTTAGACATCAAAGCAAGTTTATGAAACAGAAAAAAAGATATTGATGAAAAATGGTAAAAAGCAAACTTCAACTTTGACCTTGAATATTTTCTAAACGGTGATAGTTAGAGAGCTCAATTATGTCTTTAAATAAACATCATTTAATCACCTTTCTATCGTGAAAATATCAGATTTTACAATCATTCCTAAGTGCCTCAAATAATTAATTTAACTGACCTCCATTTAATCGCTGGTACACAAAAATATGAAACTTTGACTAGCTGTTACTTTTGAACCGTAAGTCTGGGGAAGATGAATGAGGTACCAATGGATACATCTCATCAGTAGGTTTATTTCTTCTTTAGACATCAAAGCAAGTTTATGAAACAGAAAAAAAGATATTGATGAAAAATGGTAAAAAGCAAACTTCAACTTTGACCTTGAATATTTTCTAAACGGTGATAGTTAGAGAGCTCAATTATGTCTTTAAATAAACATCATTTAATCACCTTTCTATCGTGAAAATATCAGATTTTACAATCATTCCTAAGTGCCTCAAATAATTAATTTAACTGACCTCCATTTAATCGCTGGTACACAAAAATATGAAACTTTGACTAGCTGTTACTTTTGAACCGTAAGTCTGGGGAAGATGAATGAGGTACCAATGGATACATCTCATCAGTAGGTTTATTTCTTCTTTAGACATCAAAGCAAGTTTATGAAACAGAAAAAAAGATATTGATGAAAAATGGTAAAAAGCAAACTTCAACTTTGACCTTGAATATTTTCTAAACGGTGATAGTTAGAGAGCTCAATTATGTCTTTAAATAAACATCATTTAATCACCTTTCTATCGTGAAAATATCAGATTTTACAATCATTCCTAAGTGCCTCAAATAATTAATTTAACTGACCTCCATTTAATCGCTGGTACACAAAAATATGAAACTTTGACTAGCTGTTACTTTTGAACCGTAAGTCTGGGGAAGATGAATGAGGTACCAATGGATACATCTCATCAGTAGGTTTATTTCTTCTTTAGACATCAAAGCAAGTTTATGAAACAGAAAAAAAGATATTGATGAAAAATGGTAAAAAGCAAACTTCAACTTTGACCTTGAATATTTTCTAAACGGTGATAGTTAGAGAGCTCAATTATGTCTTTAAATAAACATCATTTAATCACCTTTCTATCGTGAAAATATCAGATTTTACAATCATTCCTAAGTGCCTCAAATAATTAATTTAACTGACCTCCATTTAATCGCTGGTACGCAAAAATATGAAACTTTGACTAGCTGTTACTTTTGAACCGTAAGTCTGGGGAAGATGAATGAGGTACCAATGGATACATCTCATCAGTAGGTTTATTTCTTCTTTAGACATCAAAGCAAGTTTATGAAACAGAAAAAAACTTATTGATGAAAAACCATTTTCGATAGTGAAAATTGGAATTTCAAGACGTGATTGTGGCTAAACGGCTAGGCCTTGAAGGATGAAATAGGTACCAATGAGAAGCTCTCGGCAGATACCTAAAATAAAAAAAAGAAAACCGCCCGCCACCCCCACCCTCTCACTGTGCTTGTCTGGTCTCGAACCCAGGATCTCTGTAAAAAAATATTTTTTTCCATAATGACGATAATACACTATACTACTGTCCTTACTATATTCTTTTGTCATGTTACTGCAATATTGTAACTTAAATGAGTAAGTATTCGTAGAAATCGTAAATCTTTTTTCTTCGCTTGCTTGTTCATCTTACTTCCTGGCCCATCTTAATTATTTCTGCATGCCTTCACCATGTCACATGACTGTGTATTGTCCCCATTCCTCTTGTTTAATTTTAAAAAATATTTTCCACCGGGATTCGAACCCAAGACCTCCGGCACAAATTTCAGTACTCATAGCTCTAGGCTAAAACCTTCTCGATGTGAGAGTGGCAAATGTCCTATATATAAAATTATTCAGTTGATTATCAGTTAAAGCCATAAGAAAATTAGGGGATATTTTATTGATCCTTTAAAATAATGAAATATAATTTACATATATCGAAGCTTAAAAGTCGATATTATGAACTTACAAATTGACATGTCTTTTTTTCAATCAGTCTATATAAATTGATCAACTTTTAGCAACTCTCTGTATGACTATAAAAATATTAAATCTAGTAAATCAAATTCGATCTTTTACCTATATGTAAGTACATTTAGATAGATTTTTTCTTGTATGGTTAATAAAGATTTTGCAGAAAGTTGATGAGGTTTCATTAAATTTCAACAAGGCTTTAATAAGGCTTTGCGTCAATGCCACAGTCTTAAACATTATTTTCTTTGGAAGGTTCTTAAATGTATTAAATAAGAAAAATAAATTCCCTTCGTGCATCTTTAGGTTTCCTTAAGGCAGATGAATAGATAAAATAATTCACAGAGAATGAAACTTCTTTCATCTTACGAATGAGTTCTAAATATAATTAAATTTTATTTTAAAGAATAACATGTTGATTAAAGTTATAGTTCCATTCTCTGATAATATATTATTAAAATTAGTAAATTATTGTTGATTATGAAAGTTCAATGAATTAAGGAGAAAAACTTCATCAAGAGAGACAGCATCGCGACTTTTTAAGTTGAAAATTTCATAATGATTGTTAGCAGCCGCGACTATACCTTTTCGGGGCAGATTAGATGAGACCAGGAATGATTAATTTTCGTGAATTTAGAATCTTCGTGTACATTTACATACTCGCTATCACGATGCTTAATAGGAAGTGGAGGTGGAACCAAATTTTCCTCGGATGTTTGCGAGTTGGTGGTTGTAACTTGAAATAAATGATAATTTAAGGAGGCATTTTCACCAAAAGTTCTCTTGAATATTTACTTTTTGAATTTGCTATTGTTACTTTCACCAGACATCGAAGCATTGTCAATTTTGGAAGTAGACACATACTTGTAGTTACAAGACTTTGTGTACGTGATAAACGCTTGTCTTTTTCAGCTTCAGATCTCAATGGTCTTTTAGGTGTTAGCTTTGAATTGAATAATAAAAATTAGTTTATGAGTTTATAAATAGATGGCTGGTTGGATTCAAATTCACCTCTTCTGTAAGTTCAAAAACGGGAATGTTTTGAATTGGCATTATAATTGCTGATGTATGTAGGTGTTGAAGGATTGTTGTCAAAATGTCTTTAGTCCCTTTCTCGAAACTTGTCTTACTTAAAGGGATTATCATGTTACTCATTGAAGCAGTTGTTACAGTATAAAATTGGCTGTTGGTTAAACTCGAAGTCCCACGTTCCATCTGAAAATAAAAGTGAAAGAAATTTAATTTAAACAGGTAAATGAATAAATTATGAATTTAAGTTCGTCTCACCTTTTTACTATTTCTTCTTTTTGTGGTATTGTCTTTTTATTTATTTTTTTATTTATTTGTGATGCTGCTCCCATGGTTTGTCTTCGAATTTTAAATTTTAAATGTTAGTTTTATGAGAAGAATAAAAATTAAAACAAATACCTTGTAAATGATGTTGGTCAGTTGAATTTCAGAACTTTTGTAATTACAGTGGTTATTTTACGGCTAGGACCAGCAGCACGTGATATTCCGCTACTGTAATTAAAGAATTTATTAAATCGATGAAATATTGAAATTTAATTAAACTTACTCTGAAGAACCGACATACGTTTCTGAAAGATGATTAACTGCACTCATATGCGGTGTACTAAGAATAATTTTCCTCAACACAACCATTGCATCACGTTCGAACTTCAGATCCGTTGTGCGCTTTCCATATCTTGTTTCTATATGAGTTTGCATTTTTCTAAAGCATTCTTCAAGTCTTATAAAGATTGATAAATTGGTAGATAAATTCAACTACCTACATAACTACGCATTGTTAACAGAGACTTACCCAAAAATTTATGTCCAGTGTCGATTTCCGATGTAACTTTAAGTGTAATATCCTTCAATTCATCAACAAGTAAATTTCAAGAAAGCACCTGAGCTCGAAGTTTAATTAACTCATGCATCTTTTTTCGAATGACTTTAAGATTTGAATTACCATTCTTTAAGATGACATGTTTTAATTAGAAAATTAATTATTTACAATATTAAATTATTTTAAAACTCACTAAGAAAAACTTTTTGAAATGTTCATGCCATTTCTTCAAAACAGTTGTTATTTCATCGACAATTTGACTTCGTTTAATAATATAGATATTCATTTCTAACAATCTCGACATCAGCAACGATATGAATATAACATTTAGGAAAAATACCTTTTGAAGAGCGATTTCTATAATGAAATTAGTTGAAAGAAATAGATGAGAAAATTTATAACGATAATTAAACTATCTTATCAATCCAATATCTTTTTCACTTCAATTTACACTCACTTTTTCTTGAAGCCATAATGCCAATTGGCACTTTCTCGAACGATTATTAAGGTTTCACCTACATCCAGCTCAAGACGATTTGGCCTGTCGTCATTTTGTTTGTAATGATTTTTTATTTAATTTTTTATGAAATGAGAAGAAGGCTAACTTCAGATATATAGGTAATTTAAAAAAGTTTTTTTTTAGAATTTATACGAAATTGTCACAAATATCCGAGTAAAATAAATTCGATACAAGCTACGAACTTGACGGAGTAACTCGAAATGCACTGATGAAAGATTTAAGCATTAATAAATATGACTGTAAAATAAATTATAATGAAAAGAGAATTTACCCTACGAACAGAAACAATTTAGTGTCTCCCCAATCTATTTAAATAAAGTTATTTCAATATCACTGTAGTTTCAGCAGAGTTTTGATATAACATTTTGTTGACATTGTTTAAACTCTGATGTTATTATCCCTCCTGTATTTTCAGTGATTAATTGTTTTTATATACTTGTAGATACCAAATTTCGATTGGGGATCTTTTAACATACGGTGAATATTAAAGTTTATTAAAACATGAACATCCTTAGACATACGCGTGATGCTTTTAATTATGCTCTTATCATTAAGTATACAGGAGCAACATTGTGGAATATCAATAATATGTTCTTCATAAAGTATTATATATGTTTCTTTTAAAACTCAAATGTTGAATTCAATTTTTAGTGAACAAAAACTGTAATGGTTAAATAACTTCATAATAGAAAATAAGATGATTCGAAGTTCGCAACAGTTATGTCTTGTGTTACCATCGAATATGTTTATATTTCTGTTTTAATTTACTGACCAAAGTTCAATTTATTACGTTCAAACACATCTTAAAACGTTTTTGTTAATGCCGCATCAAGTTTTTAACAGCAGCATAAAATCTACGCTTATGTGTGAAATGTTCAACTTATTCATTTCTAATTATCCATTTAAAAGTGAACTTTTGCTTTTATTTGTGCATGGAAAGTCAAATCCACGAAGCCATACTAATGTTCATGCAAGAAACCCACTTACATGGTCCAGTATACAGACAAAAATTAGCACTTTCTTTAGAAAGAAAGTGCTAAGAGTATATGAAAGTTTATTATTGTTTTCTTTAATCATAATATTGAGAATATTTTCTATAAATTCAATGCCTAAAAACAAAATAATGAACGGTATGTAGGCAAGAAATACGTAAATCATTTAAGTTTCTTAGTTAGAAAGTTAAAAAACTTCAAAATTATAAACTTTTAATTTTTTTTTATTAATTAAAGATCAAGAAAGAAATATAAAATTCATTACTCAACAAATTTATGATTCTTTTCTTACTGATAATTGTTTTCAATATCTTTCATCTTGTGTTGTTTCTATTTAAGTCTTGTCTTATGATTTTCTAATCAAACTAGACATACACTTCTTAAGCTCTTGCAATTTGTTTTCTAAATCTAACGAACTGAAACCAAATAAGATAATAAAAGATACATTTTTAATCAATCAGGTTTGTTATGGAAAGTATAGTAATGATTTCTTTTCGAGAAACAAATGTTCAATAATCGTATACCTAAAATGTAATCTTTTGAGTTGCGAAAATTCAAAAAAATTGCGCCAAAATACTTGTATAAGGGGTATACAAGTATTTTTTAGCTTAGTGCAGACATCTTCAAAAATTTTCAGAAGACATAAGAGATTAAAATTCTGGAAACTTATTTTTTTTAATGTTGAATTTGAAAAAAGTGCGAAAAATTGAAAATTACTGCTTTACAATATAATTTTACATTGTATGAACCAGAAATATCGTTGAAATTCTACCGAAATGTAAGGAAATCACATTGATTAATATTTTTTTCTAAAGCCAGAATACCAACCAACACATTGAAGCATCAAGCTGCTACTATTCCTAAATTCAAGCATAATACGCATTTTAACAATTGAAAAATCTTAATCAATCGATTTAGAGGATTAAAACTTGACGATTAATGTAATATGATATGTCGCTTGGTTTTTATGCGTAATTAGTGAATGATCCCCACGTGGAATAAAAAGTTCTATTTGTCCAATATAATAATTAAAAAGTAATTTTTTTGTCAAATATTTTTTGACGAAAAAAGTGAAGTGCTTTTTCATGTTTTGGACGACTCTTGTGCATAAGAAAGAAGAAAATCAAGATTAATTGTGATACTAAAGTTGAATTTCAAAATTTTGAAAAATCTTACAGTGAATTTAGAAACGAGCATTTGTAAAAAAACTACGTCAAAACTGAATCGAAAAAAATATATGAAGATATTTAAATAAGTTTCATTCATCTAATATGACTCATTAATTTTCTTTTTATTGTGCCTTATTTAGGCTGCCCAAAGAAACGGAAACAAACAAAAATGTTGGTAGTGCTGGTGTGTCAAAAGATAACTCCACCATAGTAAGCAGCGATATTTTAATGGATAATAATGATCAGCAGCAGCAGATTACAACAGAAACCGATGATTCACCAAAACTGGAACAAATTTTGTTAGATTCATTTGCAGCAGCTGTAACATCAACAGCTTCTACAACACCTCTAGGATTCCAAAATGGTGGAGTAACTCAGACCTCACAAAATACAAATGATCCTCCTGAAATGCCTCAGTTAATGAGCATTTTAAACGAATTGCTTGATGGACAAGATCTAGCTTCATTAGCTAACACGGGGGGGAACGGTGATAACATGCAAGATATAGTGGATCAAGAGGAGAACTATGAAGAAGATTCACCGAAAAAAGATGACCCCGAAGAATTAACGCGCTTGCTCGTGCAACAAAGACTTGAAGAGATTAGTCGTGAAGAGCAGCAACTTCAGAGAAGGATGGATTTCCTTATCCGAAGATTGTATAAACTTGTAACACGCTCCACTAGTGTACATGCAAGTGAAGAAATTGCAGGCTTTTTGGAGCACGTCACAAGACATAATCTACAACAGAAGGAAAAAGATCTCCAGCATTCATCATCAATAAGTTTAAAGTTTCCTTGTCTCACAGCAAATCTTCAAGAAGCTCCCATTTATTCTCCCAATAAATTAACTTTAGAGAATAATCCATTCAATTTATTATCATCACCCCCAGCATCATCTCAGGAAGTCTTCGAGAAACAGAATATTTCTGAGTTTCGAGATGAAAGTGAAAGTATGACAACAAAAAAACCAGTTTCAATAGGTGAAATGAAATCATTTTTAAGACAAATCGGGAATCTTTCAACACTTCAAAATACAGTGCTGAACAAAAGATCGCACGCTTTGAAATACTTTTCAAAACCATTCAATAATAGCTTAAATTCATTGACAAAAACAGAAGCCAGCATAAAAAGCAACATAATTCCTCGATTTGAAAGTGTCGACACAGAGCAGTTAGATCAAATTTCTGGACTTTTGGCAAGTGAACTTCGTTTGATAGAGAAACAAATCGATTCAGATGCTACAGCCAGCAGCTCAGGAGGTGAATCAGCCGACGAGATGATTTCATATAACAATTCCTACCAGCAGTCATTACCATTGTAAGATTTTTCCATTTAAAAATATTTCTCTTAATCATTAACATTCTCAATTGTAGAAGTCAACGATCAGCCTATAAATATGCAAAAGATCGTGGATCTGTAGCTTCACGTTGGTGCTGGCTTGCCACACAGATTTCCGAACTCGATTATAAAATACGACAGCACACCGATTTAAGAAAACACATTAAAGATAGTAAAAATGTTGTCACATTAGAAGATGCAAGCATTTTGGAAGGGAAACTGTCCGGTAATTGCTCAAAAGATTCCACTTGTATAATATCGGATGACGAAGAAGGTAACAGATGTTCGTCAGCACGAGTGAGGCCTCTTGTTAAATCTGCTTTCCGTAAACGAAAATTGGTTCAAATTGCAAATCTTCACACAATATCAAAGAAAGCTGGGCGACCAAGGTGAGTTTTATTTAAATCTGCGCTTAATTGAGATCAATTAAACTTGCAATTGTTTACTTATAGTACACTTAAATGCTCATGTCATTGGCCATATCAGCCTTGTGCTCTCTGCACTGGCCGTGGTGATCCGACAGAACCTCGTGATTTACCTGACACATTACAAACAGCTGAACGTGTAGCACTTCTTGATCCCGGCTTTCATCCAGTTCTTAGTTTCGCTGATGGTAATTAAATTCAACATTAATTTATCGGATTAAATTGCAACTTAAACAATCTTTTCACTTGTTTAGATGTTTCAAATAATATTCACTTAGAGGCAATTATGAACATCACAGAGTGGCAGTCAAAAATGATACGTTCCTCGCCAAAATCAATAATGAAACATGCAAGCAAGCAACTCGAAAATATCAGTGCCATTCTTGGAAGCAAGAGAACGTTTAAAAACGATTATGTTTCATCAAAGTTGAATGCAGCAAATAACGAGAGAAAAAATCGTAAAGGAAATATTGATGCAGTAACTGGTAAAAGAAAGTACACCAAAAAGATTATGAAGCTTGATGGGCTGTTAACAAATAGTAAGTTTCTTCACATATCATTTGAAATATTCATTTGAACTTTTTCTTTTATAGAATTGAAAGATCGGAAAAAGCACAGAAAGCGAAATTCTATGGTTTGCTCAGGTAATCCGCATGTTCCACGCAAATATACTTTCAAAAAGCGACTACGTAAACTAAACAGTGATGCCTTCTCACATTCTAACCAAAACTCTAATCATAACCTTCCTAATTACATGAATGGTGGATCAGAGAAGCATTTTGAATATATTTGTCGAAGCAAAAACTCGTCGCCGGTACCTAATAATAGATCGGAAAAGTAAGAAAAATTTCTTTTACATTTTAATTAATTTGTAAATAAACTTTAAATGTAATTGTAGGAAAACATCAGAGTCAAGGAGTAATAGAAATTATGACATTGACAACATTGTTATTCCCTATTCAATTGCTGCATCGACCCGAGTTGAAGTGTTGAGTTATAAAGAAATTCCAACACCGAAGTAAGTTTTTTGATTTGTTTTAATCCGATACGATAATTAAAATTTCTTATTTGTTTTAAAGATGGCGAATCATAAATGATACAGATGAATTAGAACAACTGATGGTAGAACAAGATTTATGTAATCAATCAGGCGAATATCCTGAAAACGAAGATATTTCGGATGAATATCTTACAGTGAATCACGACAAGGCATTAATAGAAGAAAGAAGAAAATTTGAAACTTATTTGAAATTTCCGCTTACAAGTCGTTCACGCGCAAATCGAAGAGTTGATAGTCGTGGGAATGAATCGAGTGGAACAAATACTCCAACACCTGATCCTACCTCACCAGCACCTGCATTATCTGTTGGAGATTTAGAGGTAAATTAGACGACGTTGTAATACTAAATGAACAATGAATTATGAAGTGATTAAATTTGATATAATAATTTCAGTCGATTCCTTCACCTTTAGACAACCATGAGTATCAGGAAACTCCTTCAATAACAGGTCTGTTTGCTTATTTCGAAAGTCTATGAACGAAAATATGCATAAACATTTCAAATTATTAACCACAATTTAGCTATCCTCAATAATTTGAATGGACGTAAGGATCGAAGTCGTTTATTTACAAAGAGAGATGATGGTCAAGATGGCCCATCCAGTGGAACGGCATCACGATGCATCTCACCTGAAGCGATCAAAGAGGTAGAAAACATATTTAATAAATTCATGTGTCCATTTTTAAAAGCATTTTTATTTCGTAGACTATTCCGGCTTATGAGCCATTACGTTTCCCGCTAACTGATTTATCACTTCAAAAAATGAAGCGAGTTATGCCATCGGAGCATTTAAAACAAGTTGAACGCCATTTCAATATCCCATCACAATCAAGATCAAGAACTGATGAGAGTCAAATGAATCATAATCATCATCATCATCATCAAGCTAAAATAATTAATTGTTCCAGGCAGTTTAAGAAAGCACGAAAGCACAACGATAGTATCAGTGAAAGTAAATTGATCAAAGAAAAATTGCCATCGTCTTCGTTTACAACAATTGGAAGAAATAATAATATTTTAATACCTCGAAACAACCACAACATTTTAGAAAGCATTGATCTCACAGCAACAGATGGTGCGGTGCTGAAAGAACTCATGAATAACAATAATTGTGATCTGAATTTTAATGGTGGATTGGATGATGATGATGATAATGATACTGAAGAATTGTGCGATTCTGATAGTGAGACAGTGACGGGAGATGAGAGTTTTATTGAGCGAGACGATGAATCAGAATCCGAGGATTACATAACTAAGGATGATCGAAAGCAACCATATAAAACTAAAAATGTTTTGATCTCTAAACAGTGAACGATTTAAATTGATTTCGCTTAATTTTTTCTCTCCATTCTCGTCATTCACTGTCACTACGGATTGTTTTTAATTGATAATAAATAGGTATATGCTGAACAGAATAAGCATTATAGTTTTCTTAGCGTTTGGAATAATAAGGATTTAATGTATATATAAAGCTACTCTTATTAATCGTTTATTAGATTTAAAATAAAAGCAAAATTACTTTTATTTTTTCTATAAAAGTTCCACGTGTTTCTCAATCTTAACATTTGTTGTCCTAATTTAAAGAATAAAGTTATCACGTTGAAGATTAAAAAATGAAGAATTCGTTGCATTTTATTGTTGAGTGAAAATACACAACGATATTTGTTTTACACATCATTATGTGCAAAGCGTTGCTTAAATATGTTGCTCAGTAATTGGCGCAAATTGTCGGAAAGTCTTAAGGAATTCATAAGCAAATTTAAAATCTAAATAAATAAATTTAAGAAAATGAAACTCATGTGTGAAATTTGTATTCTGAATAGAAGTTCTAATGGAATAAAAGGTCGTTCTATCAAATCGAGTCTTTCAATTGGACAAAAGAATGAAAATTCTAAAATTATTTTCATAATAATAAATAGAAATAACAAAGCAGGGTTGAAGTACGGTAAATATTTACAATTCTTTTAATATTCCTGTTTTTCGATTCACCCTTTTTTTCTTTTAGATGTTTCAGATAATATCAAAGGAGTTTTCAATAAATATCTCTCGGATGGTAAATGCACAATTCAATTGAAGTCTCCAGAAATCGACCTCCAAATAAAAGCAGATTCCAACCAATTGAAAGCTTTTTTGAAATTTCTGAATTTAAAGATTTGCCCTGAAGCAGTAAAAACTGAGTTAGTTAAACATGAGAAAGATTTAAAGAGAGCTTTTGGATCTACGAATGGAATATTGGCTGAAAAAGTTACCAAATTGGTCATTAAATCAAGATTAGAATTCTCTAAAAAAAGTTTACAACGAACAATTAAAGAACTCGTCATAAATGAGGTTGGATTTGCACAGATGCCTCCTGGAATTTTAAATTTGACCAATTTGACGATTCTTGATCTCACCAAAAATCAAATTGAAAAGTTTCCTAAAACTTTCGAAAACCTAAGAATTACAAAACTTGCCTTAAATGAAAATGATTTGGGAGTTTCAATTCAACTTGTGAGCTTGGACTGGTTAAATGGATCAAATTTGTCGAATGCTTTAGAAATGATTTCATTATCGAAAAACAATCTAAAAATATTTCCTATGAGCTTATTAAAATGTTTGAAACTTCGTCATCTCGATCTCAGTTTCAACAACATTGAACGAATACCTTTCGCTATAAGACAAATGAAATATTTGAAAAATTTTGATCTTTCAAATAACAAGCTCCATTCTTTACCATCTACAATTACCAAGTTGAGATTCGATATTATTGATGTAAGTGGCAATAACTTTAAAATTTGCAAAAGTGATTTCCAAGAAGGTTACAACAATCAGCATAGGAATCAACTTATTCATTGGATTAAACATTATTCAACACCAACACTTTTCGAGATATCTGCAAGAACTATCATTAAACACAATATTCGATTAACAGATCAAAATGTTCCAGCTATAATAAGTGACGTTTTGATGTATTCTCCTCTATGTGCCAATTCAAATTGTGAAGCACTTTGTATAAATTCAAAAATATTGTTCAAAATCGGTCTTACTGAAATTAATAGCAAGGAAATTGTGAGCAGTGATAATGCGAAAAAGTTCGTTGTTGATGGTTGTCACTGCAGTAAAAGTTGTTATAAACAAATGTTTCGAAAACTTTTATTCGCATTTAGAGATTTGTAACGATTTTAAAAATATTAAAATAGCTCAAATTGTCACATGTTACATGATTTGTTGATCGTTCCCGCATGCTTGGCCAAATAGTGTGGAACATCATTCCAAAGTTATCAATTAAAAAATAAAATTGCATGCGATAAATCATCAAAGGAATTTTGTTTTAATTAAAATTTACTATTTAAAGTGCTAAAATGAGCGGAATAAACGTTGCTGTTGATAAATTAGGGGATAAAATTAACCTCATCACAAGAAATCTTCAGGAAATTTTAGGTGAAGAAAATCTCAAAAAAATTGTGCAAGAACGAAGTTTAAAAGTTTATTGGGGAACGGCTACAACTGGAAAGCCACACATAGCATATTTTGTGCCTATGATAAAAATTGCTGACTTCCTTAAAGCGGGATGTGAAGTACGACAAACTTTCATTATTCTACTTTCTCTTATTTTTCCTGATGACGACATATGTTTTTTCTCGGCAGGTCACAATTTTATTCGCCGACCTTCATGCTTATCTTGATAACATGAAAGCTCCATGGGTGCTACTTGAGCAAAGAACAAAATATTATGAAGCGGTCATTAAGGCGATGCTCAAAAGCATTGATGTCCCTTTAGAGAACTTAAAGTTCGTTCAAGGTACCAGTTATCAACTATCTCGTGAATATACATTGGATATGTATAGACTTTCATCAACGGTTACTCAACATGATGCTAAAAAAGCTGGAGCTGAAGTAGTTAAGCAAGTAGAATATCCATTACTATCGGGATTGTTATATCCTGGTCTTCAAGCTTTGGATGAAGAATATCTTAAAGTTGATGCTCAATTTGGTGGAGTCGATCAGAGAAAAATCTTCACTTTTGCTGAAAAATATTTGCCACAGCTTGGATATACAAAAAGAATCCATTTAATGAATCCGATGGTCCCTGGACTTGCCGGTGGAAAAATGTCGTCATCTGAAGAAGACTCAAAAATAGATTTGCTTGATTCGCCGGCAGCAGTGAAAAGAAAAATCAAGCGAGCTTTTTGTGAAGTTGGAAATATATCTGACAATGGTTTGTTGTCATTTGTGAAGCATGTTTTGTTCTCAATTTTTAAGGAGGGACAAGGTTTTGAAGTTATGAGAAAAACTGAAAACGGAGGAAATGTCACTTATAATAAATATGATGACTTAGAGACAGCATTCGCAAAACAAGAACTTCATCCAGGAGACCTTAAAGCTTCCGTAGAAAATTATATCAATAAACTTCTAGAGCCAATACGGAAAGCTTTTGATGATGACTTTCATCGGAAATTGTCTGAGACAGCATATCCTTCAAAAGCGCCATCTTTGCAGAAAACAGATGAAAACAGTCCTGACAAAATGAATTTAAAAATTGGAAACATTACTAACGCTTCTAAACATCCTGATGCTGATGCTCTTTGCATCTTAGAAGTTAATGTTGGAGAAGAAAAGAATAGATCTGTAAGGGTTTTAACTAAGTTCTATAACAGATAATGAAAATAACTTCTTTTTGATTATTTCAGATTGTTAGTAACTTGTCGACCTATTACAAGTTTGAAGAACTGACTGGAATGAATGTTGTCGTTCTAACTAACATGAAGTCTTCAAAATTAAGAGGTGTTGAAAGTGAAGGACTTGTTCTTTGTGCTTATAAGTAGGATATTTATATACTGAAGAAAATACTTTCAATATATCAGAAAATATTTAATTACAGTGACAAATCGTTTGATCCATTGCAACCACCAGTGGGATCTACAATTGGTGACTCAATATTTATTGAGGGCTTCAATAATTCTTCATCTGAAGTTCCTCAATTAAACCCGAAGAAGAAAGTTTGGGATAAGATTCAAAGTGAACTCAAAACAAATTCTGATGGAGAAGTTGTTTGGAAAGAATTTTGCATGTTGAACAATGATGGCAAACGTATAAAAAGTAAACTCATCAACTGCAACGTGAAATGATTCAACAGTTTAATCGAAGTTTCAACTCACTCCATTGCTGTTTCAATACTTTTTCAAGATGTTTAATTAAATTATTTTCATATTCTTCGATTTCATTGACTTAAAAAATATTTTAATTTCGAAAATTTTCTTTTTCGAAAAGCGCTTCTTTTTAAAGGGAATTATATTCTTCAACTTGTATGAGAGTCAAATGAAGAGCAAATAAATTTTTTTTTGTTAAAAGTTATTGATAAGAAAATTTTATATTGGTCTATTAAGAATGAGTAGCATTAAAATCAGTGAAACTGATACAAAGTGAGTGTTAACTCAATGTTTGAATGTATTTAAGAAGTTTTTATAAAGTTGTGACAAAACATTTTTTTCTCATTTTTAAAGAAAAATTTACGGGAGACAGGCAAGCTTAGAAGACATCAATCTGGACCAATTTCTGAAAATATCGAATTATGAAGAGACCATAAAGCAGCTTGACATTTATTATGGGATCGTCAAGCGACAACTTTTGCAGAATCAGTCGGAAATCACTGGCTTGTTTCCAGTGCTATCCACTGATAAAGAAGTAAATTTACATAAAGTAGGTATTAATAAATCAACTTAAAATCAATTATCGTCACATTAAAGGTTGGCAGTGTTCGAGATACTGTTTATTGTGCTGCTTCTATATGGAGTTTGTATCAAGCATATCGCAGAATTGATGACGATCGAGGAAAATCATATGAACTCGGTCAAAGTGCTGTCAAAGCAATGCGAGGTGTTTTAGAATGTTGGATGAAACAATCTCATAAAGTGGAACTTTTTAAGCAACGTCAATGTTCAGCACATGCATTGCACTGCAAATTTCATCTTCACACCGGTGAAGAAATTTATTCAGATGACAAATACAATCATCTTCAAATCGACGTTGTCTCTATCTACATTATTTTTCTCGTTCAAATGATAACGTCAGGACTTCAGATCATTTACACTCAAGATGAAGTTGCATTCATACAAAATCTGGTTTATTACGTTGAACGTGCTTACAGAACACCAGATTATGGAATGTGGGAACGTGGTTCAAAATACAATGACGGAACACCAGAAATTCATGCAAGTTCCATTGGAATGGCTAAAAGTGCTCTCGAAGCCATCAATGGCTGTAATTTATTTGGTGATAAAGGAGCTTCATGGAGTGTCGTATACGTTGACATAGATGCTCACAACAGAAATCGGTCGATTTTTGAAACGATGCTTCCAAGGGAGTCGAGTAGTAAAGGCGTTGACAGCTCTTTAATTCCAACGCTTTCTTTTCCTGCTTTTGGATCGCACGAAGAAAGATTGGTTGACTTAACTAAGACAAATGTCATTACTCGTCTTCGTGGTAAGAAAGGATTTAAAAGATTCAGTCGCGATGGGTATTTGTGTCGTCTGGAAGATAAAACTCGTCGCTATTATCACAAAGCTGAAATCAAAGATTTTGAAAACAACGAATGCGAATGGCCAATGTTTTACACTTTTCTCATAATTGATGGAGTTTTCAGAAACAATTCCGAGCAGATTGAAGAATATCAAATGGAATTAAGAAAGTGCATGTATTCAGATTTGAACGGAGGTGAACTTGGAACGATTCTTTCAAAAGAAAAAAATATTCATTTCAATTTTAATTTAGATCCCGTCGTATCAATGTTTTATGTGCCAGATGGAGAAGGAATGTATACGAGAGGTTCCAGTTCTCAAGCGATTTTCCTCATGGGACAGTCATTGTTTATCATAGCACAATTATTGACTGCTGGTTTGCTTCATGTCAATGAATTGGATCCAATAAGACGTTATTTACCTTCTTACAATCGACCACGAAAAGGCGGCTCCAGATATTCAGCATTTCAGGTGAGAGTTAAATTCTTAATTATCCCGACTTTTCATGATGTCCAAGTTTAAATGTATCACGGATATTAATCTTTCAACACAAAAATATTTTTTAAAGATTAAAAAAAAAATCTTAAAAACTTATTCTTCTTGACAATTTTTTTTTTCAATTTCTTTTGACTTTACTCCAATTAAAAAAATATATGAAATATTGCCACTCAATAGGCGAAGCCTGGACATGTAAGTAAAACAAACACACAAAGCCATGCGTTTCGATTATAAATATTATTTAGAGTAATGAATTTTCTCGCTTAAGAAATTCAAAATATCTAATTACCTAACTAATTAAAATAAAAAAGGTTCAAAGCGTATGATTTTATAAGTACATATGTAGAACTAAGTAGCTGAGAGAGAACTGAAAAACTAACATGATAACAAACTTATGAGAAATATTTTTGACTTCTTCGATCTGCTATAAAATTTCTTTCATTATATCTTCGATTTGAATTAGTATAAAAACTTTGCTTTCATACAGGTCATAAGGAGTAATTGAAATATGTACATATGATGTGCCTTTGATGATGAAAAAATTGAAATTGGAAGATTAAGTAATAAAATTAAATTTCTTTTCATTATTCTCCTTCTTATCTTCTTTCATTGAAAATCGATTGAAAACACTAAAATAAATAAAAAGCATACATACGGAGGAGTAAGTAATCGTTGTACTTAGAATATCAAAGTCATCAAGACACAATTCATGTTAGACATTTTAGAATTTCTCTCACTCATCATCATCGGATTGAGTTGTTTAGAAAAATTCAATTTTCCTCGCATGGGTCATTTTTACACATTTAGGATATTTTTCTCCATTAAATTGTAAGTTACATCCTACCTAGACTTCATCTATATCATATATTCACATAAATTTTCTTTTTATTCTCTGATTGTTTTCTTTGCATCACTAATAATCGAATTTCATTTCATCAATTCAATATTAATATACTTGATTGTGTTTCCTTTCATTAGGGAACTGCAACTGACCTTGTCGTTCAAATTGTGTTGATTGCAGAGTCGATGAGACTTCAGGTAAGTTTTTAGAATTTAAAATTTTTAAAGCTTTTAAATCCAAATTCAATTGACCAGGCAATGCTCATGACATACGGAATTCAAACACAAACTCCACATGAAGTTGAACCTGTTCAGATCTGGTCATCTATTCAGTTGATTAAAATTTATCAGCAATTAGGTGTCAATGACAAAGTGGGATTGTCAGGTCGACCATCACGTCCTATTGGATCACTTGGAACAAGCAAACTCTATCGTGTTTGTGGTTCTACCGTTATGTGCTATCCACTCATCTTTGAAGTTTCTGATTTTTATTTATATCGTGACATGGCTCTTCTTATTGACGACATCAAAACGGAACTTCAATTTGTTGGCAAATATTGGCGACTTTCAGGACGTCCAACAGTTTGCTTATTGATCAAGGAAGAACACATGAGAGATCCGCAATTTAAAGTATGCAAAATTGAATGATGGAATTATAAATTAATTAATTTCAAAAATACAGGAAATGTTGGATCTTTTGGCAATGCTTAAAAAGGGATATTGCGATGGAATGAAAGTTCGCATAGGAAGACTTCAAAATTTAGTCTCAAGCTCTTGCACAGAACATTTGGATTTTGTTTCTGAAATTCCTGATAACTGTGAAAGTTCTTTTGTTCAAATTCATCATGAATATATTGGCTACCAAAGTTTAACAGATGTGCCTAAAGCAGCTGCTTACAATGAAAATAAAATTGCTTGCACTGACTTCCATGCTCGACCAATATCGGAAATTGTTGCAGCACTTCATGGAACTGACTCAATATTCTGTCAGTGTCAGTTATATGGCATCATCACTCAACGTGAAGGGCCACATTACGAAGTAATTTTGAAACCACAAAACACTTTTCTTTGTGTTTATTTCGTTTTCTATTTCAACAGCTTAATGGAACGCCTGTTCAAGATCTAATCACAGAACTTTATTATAAATCTGGAAGCTTGAGATATTGGCGTGGTGTCCGTTATTGTTCATCTTTATTGCGTAAAACTGTTGATTCGATTAGTCCTTTCATAACGACAATTCTTGTGAATGGAAAACAAGTAAAACTTCCTTCATTTACTTTATTTCTTAATCTGAAATTTTATGAAATATTTTACTTAGATTGCTGTTGGAATGATTGGCCAAAAAGAAGTTGTATTTGATCGTCCAATGACACCATCTGAGATTCAGAATGCAATTTATTCATGCTTCAGTTGGACTGATACTATTCATGCTGTTTTGCAACAAGAAGTTGTTCTTTACTGTGGTCGAATGATTGCAACAAATCCAGATATCTTTAAAGGTATTTTGAAGATACGTGTTGGCTGGGTTGTTGAGGCTATGAAGCTTTATCTCGAAATAAAAGGCGCTGAATTAGGAATGGATTCTGAAATAGAAAATTTATCGCCATTTCAAATACGACAATTGTTGATGATAGTTTTGACTGTCAGTCAATGGGCGAATAATGATAAATTAAATACACTTCGAAGACGTCAACTTGAAGGATGTTTATGTCGTGTCCCGAATAAATTCTATAATCTCGTATGGGATGTTCTTGATCGTTGTCCATCGGGCATACAAGTACAAGGACATCATTTAGCAGCACTACCAACATTATCCAACATGTCTCGTGGTGAATTGTCTTTTGCACTTTTAGTTGAAGAAATGTTGCATCATATACCAAAATCAGAACGACGTCAAGTCTCTGTTGAACTTATTTGCATTGTCGCAACAATACTTAGCCGAAATCCAGAACTTCGCTTTCAACAAGTTCTCGATTTGGATATTTTACTTGAAGATGCATTTCATATGTATTGCAAGGTATTTTGATTTATTTCTGTTGATATTTGGTTTGATCAACATTCTTCTCTTCATCTAAATTAGGATCACGATTTACCAATTTCAAATGACATTACACCGCTCTTCTCTTTAAATTATTCTCAATCGGTTGGATACTTAGCAAGGGCCAGCGTAAATAGTGTTTTACAAAAAGCTGCTTTAACGAACGTCAGTTCAGACGAAGTTCACGACAACATTGAAGAATCATGCAAAGTTTCATAAAATAAAACAATTATTTATCTTATTATCGCAGTTAAAAATAAATAAACAAATAAATTTCAATATTTAAATTAATTTTCTACGATTTTTTTCTTTTCTTTATTTTCCATAACTTTGAAGAAAATTGAAAAAAAAGAATTTGCATGTTTAATATAAAATTTTAAATGCAAACAGAAAAACTTCAATATTTCTTTATCTTTCACAAGACTATGTGAACTTGAAAAGTTAAATTGAAATTCGAAGATAATTATTAATGTTAATAGAAAGAGTGAATTTGTTATTTTAATACTCTTAAGTTTAATACGGTCGTTGACGATAACCACCACCGCCGGCGCCAGAACGATCGTTTCCTCCCGGACCACGCATTGGGCCTCCTCTGTTGAACCCTCCTCCACTTCCACCTCGATTGAAACCACCACCACCTCCGCGATTATCGCGATTTTGAAATCCACCGCGTTGTGATGAGCCTCGATTTCCAGATGAACTTCCTCCATCATCACTTTTTGGTTCCTTGCAACGATTGCATTCATTTCTCCATGCGAAATTTTTATTTTGACATGCTGAGCAAACCCAATCGCCATCGCGGGATTGGCCACCTCCACCAGATCCACCACCGGAACCACCGAAACTGCGTGACCCTCGATCATCGTTATTACGTGGTGGACGATCATCATTTCCTCCTCCATATCCGCCACGGCTTCCACCTTACAATTTTTTATTTTTAATTTTATAATTAAAAGATATACATAAAAATTTTTACTCACCACCACCACCACCAAAACCTCCTCGTTTTCCTCCTTTCTGTTGCCAGGAATTATTACGTTGAGCCAAAGATACTTTAATCTTATTGCCATTAAAGTCTTTTCCATCGAACCAATCAATGGCAGAAGATGCAGCTGAAGGATCATCATAAGTTATAGTACATTCACCTTTGCCGGTGCCAGTTTCTTTGTTACGATATATCCAAATTTTGGGTTTCTGTGTTCTTCGATCCTTTTTGATGATTCCAATTGAACCGAAGTGATCATTAATCTCATTTTCAGTCACTTCAAGAGCCATTCCACTAACGAAAATTGTGTCGTCTTGTGTTACTACATCTCCACCTGAGAAAATTGTGTAATAAGCATTTTTATGTCCTTTTTAATAATTTCAACTTTCAATCATCGTAATCGTTATAAGTAAAACTGATTAGATTATTGAGGGAGTCATTTTTGTTTTTTCACAGAAAATGCATTTGAATAATTAAAGAAAAACGGTCCAAACTCAAATTATTTAATTATGATAATATTAAACAAATTCACTTTCGGATATTTTTTAGATCATAGACAAATATCCGCGAGAAAAAACTTTACAGATATTTTCTGATTTCATCTCTATCAGAATAAGTTTTTTTCTCTTTTTTTTTGTAAATACTCCTGTGAGTCAAAACGACTTGTTTCTCGGATTTGTTTTGTTACAAAAGGATTTATAATATTGATTATTACCGAATGTAAGCTTTCGGCATTACCTTTAAAACCACCTTTGTTGCCGCTGAGATTCGGGATACATCATGAAATGAAACCATTTGAGAATGAATATTGTAAAAGTCGAAATCTTTACCATCATAAAGATGAATAATAATTTCAAACTTCAACAATGTCTGTGTGATTCCAAAGAGATTCAAATTAAATACTCTTGGGTATCACATGAAGGCACGACGTAATGTTTTAATAATCCTTGGGCGATACATACTCGTATGTAATAGACATTTATGGCGACCTTTGCGACACTCAACCAACGCTTTACTCTTTCTTTAACTCTTTCAACCATGTAATTGTAATAAATAAATTTCATATTTTTGTTATTTTACATATTTAATGATGGTGATAAGAATGCTGTTTAATTTCATCTAAATCTTTTTTTTATTTATTTTTTTAATTGTTTTACCACAGCAGTCTCATCCTCCATCAACAATATACAAAGATAGATAGTAACGCGTCGCTTAATTTACCTTTTCGTTTATTATCTTACCAATTTGTGTCGCACTCGCTATACCATTTCATAAAATCTATTCATATCTTAAAATTCTAAACGCTCTTAGGTTGAGTCAAGTTTTATGATAATCAATTGAGGGAATTGAGCATATTTTGAGTAATTATCAAAAATATATTAGCCACCTACCCGCAATTTCCGCTTTTATTAAAATTATTTCCACCGCCGCGGCTAAAATTGCTCCCACCTCCAGAAGAATAGTCTAAAATAATTGAAGACATTTTTATAAATTTTTTTCTTCCATTTTCATTGAGGTTAAAAAAATCCCTACCCGAATTACTTTTGCCATAATCACCTTGGCTGCCATAATTTGGTGGTGGGGCACCATATTCGTATTCTGATAATGTTAAAAAAACGTAAATTTACATTCAATAGATTTTGAAGTGATAGACAAAAATTTTTGATTGATTTGAAATTCATTTTAAATTTCACATTTTTACTTACGATTTGCCATTTTGATTTGGTTTTGTTTCACTTCTTTTCAATTTTCACTTAAGTATAAATCGATGTGTTCTTAATTATATGTATTTTTATTCGTGATTAATAAAATCTGTCTTCGGCGTCACAGTGGAAAAAATTTGATGTTTCGAAATGTTTTCGAACTAAACAAGGGAAGCAAATTAATTTGCGCTCACATTCGAATAAGATAATTTCGAAAGTGTTACAGGATTAATATAGGTAGGTATCTCTTACCTTGTCACTCATATTTATGTTTGGGGTTGCCATACAAAACATGTATGTTTTTATTAAAAAACTATAAATAAGAATCGTTTTTAATTTATTTAGAAGATAATTTAAATGAACATTTTTAAATTAATTGGGACCTCTTCCACAATACAGCTCATTTTAAATTCTTAATAATTAAACGAAAACTTCATCATACGCTTAAATATGTCATTTAACGCATACGATAAGTGTTGTCCTCTGCCATTTGTGACAGCTCTCCGTTAAAAGAGATTTTTATGCCAAAATCCAGATCACGATTATTTTTCTCATTTGGCTGCATACTGAATGAACCATAAACTTCTTCTCCCTTTTTTGCTGTCATATAGTCATCCAGGTAAAACACTGTTTGTTTCCAGTGAGTGTATGGAGATTCTGGCGATGTGCTAAAGCCCAAACGTTTGTGGCATTTTGTAAACTCTACGTTGAAATAAGTGACCAAGGCCTGAATAAAGTCATTGCGCTTTACAGTAAGATGAAAAGGACTGCAAAATGCCAAATCTTTTTTGTTGACAGTATACAGATCAATGTCTTTTATCATGTAAGAGTTAGTCACAATTTGTTTTGGATCGACAACATCCACAAGAGGCTCGGTAATAGCAACTTTTCTAATATGTGACATGTTAAAACCATACACTTCATCCCACCAATTAATTTTTTCATCTTTGTACTGCCGATCTTCAATAGCAGTCACAAACAATGTGCACCGGTCAGGGAACATCATTCCATTTTCTTTGTCAAGCCATTTATCACGAGCATATAATACCGTGTCCAACATTGATTCATAGAACAAGCAATATCCCATCCATTCAGAAATGATAATGTCCACGCTCGTGATTCCATCTGGAAGGGTCACTTCCTCAACTTTTCCTTTTACAAGAGTTATGATGTGGCTGAGGTTATTAGCTTCGATTATTTTAACAGCATAATCAGCGATGTTAGAGAATTCAATTGCAATAACTTTCGATGCACCGGCTTTTGCTGCAAACATACTGAGAATTCCAGTTCCGCAACCGATGTCAAGCACAACCTGAAACAAGAAAATATTTCAATGACATTCATGTAACTTTAGAAATAAAGCAAAATGTTATACCTTTCCTTTGAATAAATGCTTATTATGATACATAGCATTTCGATAGCTGAGCGTGCGAACTTCGTCTTTTAACATCTCTTCATGAATGCCTTAAGAATAATAAGAAAAATAAAAGAAGAAATAAATATAAACAACTCCGTAACACAGAAATTTAATCTCTAATTTTACCGAAATGCGCATATGAATCGAAATAGTAGTCACGACTTGTCATATCCTCAGGGTTTGTTGTACTGAGGGCTTTACTTTTTACTCCATCAGTGTTGTTTCCATTTTCACTTGTGAATTCCATTACTTCCGACTAATTAAATAGAAAAAAAAAAGTCATGGACACAATATTTATAACATTCATAAATAACAAGCTCTTATACTATATTTTAATATCATGGTTATAAACGATGCTAGTGATCTTTGTAAAATTGAATTTTTTCATTCAACAAAGATGCAAGAAAATGCTTGAAAATAAAAAATTACGAACTTACCATTATTGAGTTTTCTGATATATTTCACTTAAGTTATTGATCCTTAACAAAACTAATATGCGTCTTTTTCTCTTAAAAGTGTGAGGAATTATTTATTTCAAACTTCTTAATCTTTGTATTTTAAAAGAGAGTTTAAAATGATTTTCTTGGTTAAGTTTTCGAATAAAGTTCGAATACATATCAATGCAAACCGAAAGTTTTATAAACATTTTAGAAGAATTTCACCCCTTGGTTCATCTTTCAGAACCTGCGAAATATTTAAAAAATAAACAAAAAAGTATTTTCGCTCACGTACAATTAAAAAATAAAGAAAATTTTTAAGAAAAATATCAGGTTAAAACAGATATGGTTTTCACTACATTTGTTAACTTTATAAGATCTAGAGGTCCCGATGAATTTTGGAGAAAAAGAAAAATATTTAAGTTGGCAGCTGTGAGTTTAGAATGATAGAAGTTAAAAATCAGCCTAAAACGTGTTTATAATTACAGCATATGTATGGACGAAGAAGAAATTGTTACTCAATAGCTATTCGAGCTGTTCATAAATCTCTCCAACACGCAACACTTGGACGTAAATTTAAGAAGATTCATATGAGAGATGTAAGCTTTCATGTTCTTATTTTAAAAATAGTTTCTGATAGTTAATTTTGATTTAGCTGTGGACTAGAAGAATAACAGCCGGTGCAGAACAGCATGGAGTATCTTTCATTCAATTTAATGAAGGTTTACATAAAAATAAAATACAACTCAATCGCAAAGTTTTGGCAGACCTCGCTGTTTGGGAACCGGCAACATTCGAATCACTCGCTCGGTTAGGAGAAGAACTCGACAATTATGGAAATATCAAGGAATGATAAACAAATATTGAATAGTTTTTTAATGATACGATGTAGATTGCTTTGAGATAAAAAATAAACAAACTCGTGAAGATATTCATGTTTAGCATGTTTCAATTTGTAATTGATTGAAGGAATTTTTAATTTCGTCCGAGGGGTATGCGGGTCGCATTTTCGAAAATCCGAGTTAGATTCACATTCTGATTTTCTTAAATTAAAAAGAAAATTAAATATGAGGTTTACAGCAGTTTTACGTGCACAGCATCTTGGTTTTTATTTCAAGAAACATTGGCAAGTTCAAGGACGAAGAAAAGTTATGAAGACAGGATGTTATTCTGTTTTAAATGATCTAGGAATAGATATTAAGGATCCAAAGAAATATTTGGAGAACTTTCAAGAGAAAAATGAAAACCAAACGCAATTAAAGTAAGTCAACCAATTTCCGTAAACATAAAACAAACCACAATACGTTTTTCAATGTGTTTATTATTTTACAGTCAAAATCTTAAGAAATTTCTAGGTGAACCGGAGGAAATCAAGGAAAACAACTATTCTTACAATGAAAAGCCGATTTATCTATATGGAGACTCGAATGTTCTTGTGGAAGGAACAGTACAAGCACAAAAGCTTCTTAAAACTCTTAAGTTTGATAGGTTTCCTGATCAAATTGAAAAGAACTTCGAAAATACAAAACTTCCTACAAATATTGAACGTTCTTTTCAACAATCAGTTCTCGTTTCTCATTTACTTGATGGAGAGCAACAAAAACTTGCTAAAAAAATGAATCCATTACGACCAATGCGTCCATTTCCTCTAGAATATGGAATAACAGATGCAAGAAAGAAGTAAGATATTCACAACTAAATTAATGCAATTAAAATGTTTATTAAATTTATTATAGTTTGTCATTGTCAACGCGCCTTATAAACCATTGTGAAAGACATTTTGGACCTAGAGTTGCCGCTAATAGAAAGACAATTAACGATGCACTTTTCATTGCACAATTTCAAAAAAGAGGTTCCAACATAAGATTCGATGTCAAAGCAGAAACCTTTTTAGTGACACGCAAACCAATTTCATCGTTTGCTTCTAATGTTGATGAAGAACCACTTCCAGATATATCTCCTCTACAAGATACAATTTCCATACCTAACACACACTTCTACGATAACGAAATCAAAAGCTCCTATCGTAAATATTTGCCATTACATTAATTTAATTAATCTCTAAATAAAGAATAATTTTTAATTTCAGCTGTGAAAACAAGTGGACAGTTTTGTTATCCTCATACCATCATGCTTCATTACTCTAATCTTGATGTTAAACATCTTTTTGAAACACCAGTAACACCTGATCAATTCGAAAGTAGAGCCATGATCAAAGGATTTGCAGCTGCTTCAAGTTGTGCTCAAAGTCTTTACGGATTTGAAGTTGAAGAGTTGCCAGAACCAGTTGTTGTTCAAGTTGTACAATTTGATGGCAAAAGAGTTCAATTTGGAATATTTCAACTAAACACACTTAATTTAGATGTAACAGAAGGACCCAAAAATTATTGGTTTAGGAAGCCTGAAACGCAGCTTTACGATGTTTGCTGTTATACTAATGGAAGACCAGCTCTTACTTCATATAATTTTGATGTCTTTCGATTAATGTCTGTATTTTACAACAATTAAGCTTCCATTAAAATTCATTCTTTAGTAGAATTAATTTGGTGTTTCTTGTTTCACAATCCATTTAGTTTTGTCTTTTCAGTGCATCAAATTCAGAATCACTTTCAAGGCCATAAACACATTTTATTGTTATGTTTCCAAAGCAGCAAACTTTTATGTGAAAAATGTTTTTTTTTTCGCTTTCAGATCAATAACAAGTCACGTCTTTTATCCTGATTTTCAATTCTTTTCATATTGAATTCAAGATTGAAACCTTTTCACAGTCTTAAGAATAAAACTCAGGTTGATAGAAGCATTTGTGAAAGCTTCGATATCTTAAGATGCAGAGTAGATCACCTGATTACAATTATCAGAAAACTTCTCAATTTGGATCAAAACGTACATCACGTTCAGCTTCAATAGCAAGTTCTGTTGACGACCAAAGTAAGGATGAACAATTTACTAACAGCGACGAGTCGGAAGTACAACAGAGAACATTAACAATCAAGTGAGTACTAATTTTATTTTATGTATTCTTTAAATTCTACTGTGATTGCCTATTTCAAGAACTAAACATGCCATTTATCAATACGTCACAAAAAAAAATATTGAATTTACAAAAAATAACTAGATATTTTAAGCATAATGTTGTGAACTTATAATAATGAAATATCAAATCATACATATAATTTGAATCCAAATGTTTGATCGATCAAACACATATTAACTCAATTTTCGTCGTGACTGTTAACAATTCAAAGCTCTTTTAAGCTTTATATGTTGCTATACGATTTACTTAAGCAAAACTTACACCTCGTACACGTGGTTGAATAAAGCATCACATTTATGAGCTTTATCGTACTTTAAGGAAAAGTATTTCAATGAATTTCTAGGAACAAATAGCGTATAGCAATTATGCAATGAGGTTCCAACATTTGCAAGTATAATACGTTTATTGAGTATTTTCTGCCACTTTGTACCTTCCACCACTCAACAAAGATATTCATTTTAAAAGCTCAAGTACTCTTTGTAACACGTTTAAGATTTCACCTGGAACGAAAATAAAATTTATTTGTTCTTTTTTAAAATTAATTGTGAATTTATTCTTGTGAAATGAAAACGTCTTGGAAACAAATCTGTAATAAAATAATGGACACTCAAAAAGGTCGCTTAAGCGATGAAAGTGCCAGTACAGATGAAACTGTCACAACAAATTCCAGTACACCACGTTTTAACGGTCAAAATAGATCATCAATTGATAGTGAATGGCAACTTAACATGATAATAAATCGAAAGGATGGCTTGTACTTATTGCATCTTAAGATGGTGAAAATTCCAATAATTAAAATGCATTCGTAACATTTTTCAGACCAAAAATCCGCAAAGAAAAGAAAGATGATAAAAAGCTTGGATGGAATCCTGGAGGAAGGGAAGTGAAACAGAAAATCTCATCACGAATTGATACCAACATGGTGAAATTGAAGCTTTTAGATGCAACACGTAAGGCTATTTTAGACAAAGCAAAGAAGGTGTTGGTATCTTCATATGCACAAACTGAATCAAAAACCAAATTGTGTAAAGATCAATTTGTTGATAAACAAGTTGATTTGATAAATCACGTCAATCGTTCAACTGAAACTGAGATTCAGTACGTTGCTGTCAAGGTAAGTTTTGGGGAAATTTTCATCATTACAATTTAATTCTTTTTAAAATATCCTCATGCTTTTATTCGAAGTCAAAAGATGGATCACGTAACTTAATATTGATACTTGCAATCATTTGATTTCTAAGAAAAAAATTATTAATAACATTTCAGTTATCATAACGTCTACATGTGCAGTAAATACTGATAAGATTCCGTCGCAAGAAGTTGCAACTCAAACAAAAATGCCAAGATCAAACATCTCATTCAAGAATATTATTGATCCTAAGCAAAAGATTCATTACACTTATGAAGAAAATTCTGAAAATGAAGAGCAACCAAATAATCTCAACAAAGAGTTGGCCAAAATTGCAATGCGTCTTGATGATGACAAGAAATTTCCTCAACATTTTGCTTCATCACAGATAAACCAACTTGATGTGATGGATCTTGTTAATAAAGATGTTTATGATGCTATTGATATTGAAACTTTTCCTACTGAAGCTTCTTGTGATACTCCAGAAGTTTTAGATTATGAAGTTGATGACATTGTGCATGATTTCCAACCAGATGTTGTCAAAGGCAACATAAAGCGAGACAAACGACCCAGTAGTGTAACAGTTAATTCTTGGCATGATCTTGAATTCCCAGACGAAAATGTTGAACTCCCCCGAAACTATTTTACTGAAGGTCCAACTCCTTGGTCAAATTTTCATGATCTCATGTTAGGTCAACGCTTCTTAAACGCTCGTCTATCGCCACTTCCCAGTCGACACCAACAATCAAATGTCAATCAAGTTATTTGGAATGATTCTCAGGTCAGAATTGTTTCCGATTTGATACAGGAAGCAAAAGCTTTGATGGATATGTTCGATCAAGTCGCCATGCTTTTAGGGCCGGACATAAAGTTACATTATGTGTCAGGTCTGTATTAATTAATTTCACTTCTCCATAACATTGAAAACAAATAAAAAAGCACAAATAATATTACCTGACTGAAAGCCAAAAAATTTTTCCTTCAAGATCACAACACCAGTCAAAACTTCACATTCATTGAAAACAAATTTCTCAACTATTTTCAGAGGTTGAAGATTTTGAACTCCCTCCAAGTAAATACAGCGGTGAAATGATGAAAACGTGTGAAAAGCTTGAAGCTTCTTTAAAACATCTACAAAATATAAAAGAATCTGGAAGAACAGAGATTTTAAATTAAATTTGAAGCAATTAATGAGTAGAATTACTCCATGCAGATATTTAATGTTAGTTGAAAATATTTCCGTTTCAAATTTTAATAAACTTCTGTTTCAAGCTTCTTCGATGAATAGAATTCAAGCTACTAACCCAAAAATGAGAGAAACTCAGATGTTTTTTTTTTAATCGTCTCGTTTTAATCTCGTAGGAATATTTTATTGGAAGTTGTGTTAGTACAACACACACAACCTTACACAGAGATAAGTTAAAAAAGGATTCTGCAAATGTGAACGATAAGTCATTCAGAGTCTCAACAGCCTGATTGACACCGACTAGTCAGTTGCAGTGGCAAATGATTTGGAAACAAATTATATACTTCGCATATGGTCCCAAAAATGCATTGCCCGTATGAACAAGGTTCGATGGGCCCTATAGCGCTATGAGTCAATGATCTCATCTAAAAATTATTCAGAAACAGAAAGATTGAACCACTTGGTGAAACTACAACTGCTTTCATCAACAGATTGGAAGATTACATAAAGTTAAGGAACGCTCGTAGAAGTGAAACTTGAAAATAACTACATAAATCCCCAACAGATTGATGAATTAACGTTCATAGGCACTTGAAGAGTGCGCATACAATCATTCTGCAAAGATTGACTAAGATTGCATTGTTGAGAGGTAGTGCGAATGAATCTCATAAAGACTTGCATAAAGAGATAAGAATTAAAAGGATTCGGAGAAGAAAGCAAATTGTCATTCAGAGTCTCGAGGCTGATTGACACTGACTAGTCTTTTGCCGAAAAATTTAATTATTTAATTCTTTTATTTTTTGAAAAGAAAAACAAAATTTTTTATTTATTTTAATGATGAACAGATGCATGCATTCGTTCCAAAAATTTATTTTCTTTATTTTCCAGGTTGAATGATAAAAATTATGAAGATTATTTTGAAAAGTTGATGATTTTTACGCAACAAAAATGCGACAGCTTTGAAAATGACGTTGCTGCTTTCTTAGATAATAAAATGTAACAACTTAATATGAAACTTTAATGATTGTCATTTATGTATGACTTTTAAATAAATTAGAATAATTTAATGATGTTTTATTATTTATTTATTCTTCAGCAGCAGATTCTGGAACCGTTTCTTCACTGGCTACTGCTGACTCTTCTGGGACGCTTTCGTTTTCAACATCTACTGGTTCTTCGATAATGACTGGTGTTTCGGATATTTCTAAAGGCGTTTCGTCAACGGTTTCAACTGGCTCAGATACTTCCACTGCTGGTTCATCGGGAATTGTTGAAGCTTCCTCAATTTGTTGAGGTGCTGACTCTTCTGCTTCTTCCGTTACTTCAACTACAGGGGCTTCTTCTACAGGTGCCTCTTCCACCTTTGGAGCTCCTTCTGCATTTTGTAAATCTTCAGTTTGTTGACGAGCTATTTGTGCTAATTCATTCGCTTGTCTCGCTAATTCGATTTCTTCTTCTTCTGTCGCAGCAGATTCTAACTCAGCTAATCTTATTTCTTCTGCTTTAATTTTCTCAAGTTCTGCTTGCTTCTCTTCTTCAATTTTTCTTTATAGAAAATATTTAAAAGAAAAAGAAGTTTCAATTAATAAAATTAAATTTTTGATGTCACTAGCTTTATTTCCTTACCTAGCAGCTTCTTCTGCAGCCAATTTTTCAGCGGCCAAACGAGCTTCTTCTTCTAATCGAAGTTCTTCAGCTTTTCTATATGTGTTTATATTAATGTTTTTTTAAATGTGTTCAAATATTATAATTTTATTATATTTTACCTGGCAGCTTCTTCTTCAGCGATTCTTTTCTCTTCAGCTTCTTTCCTAAACAATTAGATAATAAATTAGTGACATAAACTTTGAATAAAATATTGAATATTTACTTTGCTGCTTCTTCTGCTGCAATTCGTTTTTCTTCTGCTAATCTGCATATATGTAGAAGGAGTATCAAAATATTTTAAAAGTTAATTAAATTAGTAATAAAATTTACCTTGCAGCCTCAGCTTTTTTTGCGGCTTTTTCTTCTGCAAGGCGAGCTGCTTCTGCAATTCTGAAAGTTCACGAATTAAAAAAATTCTTAATATAAAAATATTTTTTATCAATCTACTTGGCTTCTTCAGCTAAACGAGCTTCTTCTGCTAAACGTTCTTCTTCAGCTAAACGAGCTTCCTCTTGAGCTTTTCGTTCATTTTCAGCTTGTTTCTCAGCAGCTGCTTGGACAGCAAGTTGTTCTTTTCTTTGAGCTTCTGCTTCACGTTCAGCTGCTTCTTTCTTCGCTTGTTCCTTCTGTTTTATAGCTTCTTCCATTAAAGCTCTAATATTAATAAAATGAAAAGTTTTAAAAATTTATTGTAATAATTTTTTTCTTACTGTTCTTCTCTCAATCGTCTTTCTTCTAAACGTTTCTGACGAATCTTTTCCATATCCTCATCAGCTTCCGTTACTTTCTCAAGACGATTTGAAGCTTTCAAATTTTCGATTTCCTTACGAACGACAGCTGGGTCTTCAATAAGTTTTTGTTCGTTGAACTTGCGCGAAGGCCGGGCTGGGTCGAGACCCAATTGTGCTGTAAATGTATTTTTTATTGTCCACAAAAACTGTTGTGTATTCAAATTTTCTTGTTGTGTAAATTATAATGACTGAGCGTTTGACAAAAAGTGTTTTTATTTGTAGTGAAAATATTTATTCAAACAATGCATGGATAATTTTATAGCAAATCAAATTTTCATCAATATTTTTTTTTTTCGTTCTAATTTTGTGAATGAAAAAGGAATTGAAATTCATTGTCTTGTATTGAAATATATCCTTTAATATATTTTCATCTCTCAACATACCATAATAAATCATAAATCAATGTTCTATTCTATTCATCACACAATCTGCAAGCGAATGAAGTAATATTTGATTTATAATACTTGCAAACTGTTTGAAATGATAGTCAGTTGATATGTGAGTTCTTACTTACTTGCATCATCTATTTACACTCATAGAGTTAATAGTTTTAATCAAGAATAAGTTGATGAAATTTAGGTTGAAATTATAATTTTTACTGATCATCAGACACAGAAGGCAGTTTGATTGATGAAGACGTCACTACTAGCAGAGTTGTATCAAAAATTTACACTGGTTTCCTCAATTGTTGATTTTTGAGCACTCAATAAGCACATTAAATAGCTCATCACAATCATTCAGGCTTAGAGTTAAAGATTTCATGCTTTATAATAAATATTTTTTGTTTTATTTTATATTTTTGGTGTTCTTAAAAGGAAGAAATATTTTTGTATACATAAGAAAACGTGGAAAACGGCAGGAGATACAAAGATTATCTTTTCATAAGTTTCTTTTTATTGAATATGTACTTTTTATAAGTTTGAAGAGAAAATGGTTTGTTCGAAGCTATAATAAACATCTACAGACATCCTGAATTTATAAAAAAAATTTGTTTATGTATTTACGATATTGGGCGATGATCAAAATAAGACGATTAGCAATCTAAATATTTGTCTGTGAATTTTAACTTATAGATATGTAATTGCCTAACCCGATTGTTAATGTGGTTTCAAAAGAGTAAAAAATCGGATAGAAAAATTCAATAACATGAAATATTCATTACTTAGTTAAAAAAATAAATAGACTTTTCTTCAAAAAAAAAAATGAACTCAAGTGAATTAAATGTTCAAGCCTATCCGCTTGCTGGTGTTTCAGTTAAACCATTAATTGTTATGCTCTCAATTTTTGAATCAACTTCGCTTTCCATTATTGTTTGAATTTTATTATCATTCAATACAACTGGTTTCGCGATGACTAGAGGTTTATTTTCTATGTTATTTTGTTTGTCTTTTTTAGCTCTATAACCAACTGCAATAAAAATAAATAAAATAACAAGAGACAAAAATTAGATCAACATTCTATTCCACGATGAAATTTTAAAGATATGAATTGAAGTATGGTCTTGAACTTAAGGTGAGAAATGTTTTCCGTTTATTGATATTCGATTTAAATGTATTTTTGGTTTATGATTTTTAGTAATATTTCAAAGTCGCTGTTATTGGCAAAAGCTTTTAATCCAAAATAAATATATTTTTCATATATGAAAATTTATTATCAAATCATATATTTCAAGGACTTCTCATTTTTTTTGATTTTACTTTTGATAAAAATAGAATAGACAATTAGAATGAAGAAATATGTGAATGCATGAAAATTAGATACAAACTGAAATTTAAAAGAGAACTGAAACGTTCAAATAAAAAGTTTATAATATCAGAAACATGTCAATCAGACTTTTAAAAAAGAAAAACGATTAAAATTTAAACCATCATTTGGCAGTTTTATATGACAGAAATAAATTCATAAATATTCGTTCTTACCTGAATCATCAGCAGCGACAAGATCACGATTCTTTGCATAGAAAGAAAGTAGATTTATATGATTGCGAACCTCTTCATTGCTATAATCGGACAATTCAAATTCACGCATCAATGAATTACGCGTATAGTAGGGCTTATCACCTACAATTCTTGTTGAGGCCAAGTGACTTATTCCTTTAATAATATGTAATACAATTGTTATATAAAGGTAGAAAAAACTGACGTATAGTGCAAAAATTAATAAGTTAAGAAGGGTTCAAGGGTTCAAGGGTGATGAAATACAAAGGCTATTGCATATTTGACTTCAACAAATACTGATTTTCATATGGAATCAATCATGAACATTTTCACAAATTCATTTTGTTTGTTTTTCTTTCATTCCCTTCTTATTTTTAATTGAATTGTACTCATCACGAAGTGTGTAAAGAAATTTTGCTTCGGAACATTATTTGAAGTTTTCATCAACTTGTTAAACCTTTTAGAAATCAATGTAGAATTATTAATTAATATACAAAGTTGAAGAATATTTAGGTGATACATAGACAGAAAGAAACATCTGACAGTTTGTTAAGTTCACTAAAAGTAGCTTCCCTTTTATGTCTGTAGGGAATAAATTTGCTAGTAAGTTCACTCTTAAGTGCAATAAAAGACATAAACGACCACAAACAAAAAAAACTACTTAACTATTTAAAATATGAATTTTCAAGGCTGATTCTATACAACATTTTTGTGTTTAATTATGGACTACATATAACAAAAGGTCAAAAGTCAAACAGGTTTAACAGCCTTGTAGTTGATACCAAACTAAGACGTCGAATGTCGAGGGTTAATCATTTGCTAAATTAGTTTAATCCTTTTTTCAAATCGACGCATTTTAAGGTAACAATACGCTGATTTGAATGTTAATTGATCAAACGTTTACTAATTGATTACCCATAATCGATCGACACTGTATTCTAAGTACTTGGTCTAAGTATGATTTTTATGTGCATGTTGGTTTCTTTGTAATTTCATTAAGAGATGAAGATATTTTTGCCATTTCTAGAATTTATCGAATTTTTCAACAAATGATGGATCGAAAAACTCACCAGAGTAACGTCTTGGTGGTTCCCGGTATTTGATGTTTGACAAGATTTCAATTTGATCTCTGACTTTTCTAGTCGGTCTCAAAATATTCTTGTTGACATAGAACTCATTGTCGAGACCAGTTCCGTATTTGTCTATCAAAGCAGGGTCGTATCTAATGATTGGAAAGTGTTAAAAATTCAACTTCTTCAAATAATTAAAGTATTCAAACACCTGCTATAAGCTGGTTGAACACTTGAACCACGCGCATAACGAGGTGGAAGACTTTGTGAGCGTCTAACAGGTTCATGAACCTCTTTCAACAGTCTTCGTGTTGATGCGCGAATTTCACGGGTTTCATCGTTGAAGTTCTAAAAATAGGTTTATGATTTTGAAAATCTGTTCGGTGTGGAAATTGTTTGCGTATCTCTTTGATCATACACATAAGTAAATATATGAAAATTCTTTTTTTAATTTTTTCTCATTTCAAGAAAAAATATAAAATTAAACGTTTAACGACATTTATAAAATGAACTAACCATAGTGTAGGGAGAGTTGAGATATTCCTCCGTATCGTTAACACCGACTGGACTTGAGCGATATTTACGTTCGATGCGATCAAATTCACGACTCAATACAGATGGTCTCACTCGAATATTGACAATATGTGCGGGACTAGTTACGAGACGAACTGGTGATGCAACATCTCGACGGAAGATTCGAGCAGAAGGTGTAATAATTCTTATTGGTGACAATCGTTCCCGATAGACATTTGATGATGTGGTTGCGATTCTTGTCATTGGCTATTCGCATGAAAAGTCATTGAATTTATTTTGAAGCAACAATGGAAAATTTGGAAAACTCACAATTGGAATGACTCTATTGTAACCAAAATATGAGACATCTGGATAATCAGCATCATAACTGAATCTAAATGATGGACGAGTTATATAGCTACCAACCTTTTAATAAATTTTTTATGAATTACAAAGACTCTTAAAAATTCATTACATTATAAACTCACTCGAGAATAAGTTGGTGTCACACGAATTGGAGACTGAGAAATAAAAACTTTACTTTAGATAAAAGTGTAAAGTGAAAAATAAAACACAAGACATTAAACTCAAAAAAAAAGAAAAAAAATTAGGAAAGTAAAATAAATATATAGGTATATATGTTTCAGCATACATACATAGTATTTATAAGTAGTCGTGTAGCTGTCATCGAAAATAGGGTCGAAATAAGGCTACAAAGTAATTTCGACAAGAAATCAGTGAGGATTGTTAAAAACAAAAGCATAGAATAATTAAAATTTGAAAAAGGTTTTTTACTAACATTAAAATTTCCTTCTTATGTTTCATTTATGTTGTGTATTGCATTTTTTTCCTTATCATATTATCATATTTCATGTGCCGCTTAAAACAATTTAGAATGCCAACGAATTCCACTGTATTAGATGTGAGAATAAAAAAATCGGAAAAAACTCGTACAAAATTAAAGAAATATAATATTATCTTTATTTGCATAAACTTTTTTCTTGGATACAATTTTATCTGATTTGATTTTTTATACTGATATTTTTATTTTCCAATTTAAGGAGAATTTTTAATTCAAAATTGAAAGTAGTCATATTGTTAGTTAGTTATAGATAATTAGTAATGGTTTAACTTGCAGCTAACATCATCATCATCATCATTAGGTAGATGATGAAGAACGATGGTTTTAGATAATGAAATAATTAGAAATGTTATTCAAAACAAAATCAATTCTGCTCGGATTAAATGATTATTATTAACACACTTCATAGTTTGCTAATGTTCTTCACTGATGGTTTCAAAAGCCGGTTCGCCACTGGCATTTAAACTCTGAATGAGGAATAGCGAGTACCATAAGGGCCTGAACGACTTGAACTGTATGAGTAACCTCCTGGACCGCTTCCCGTTGATGTTGAGCTTTCATACGAATAACCGCCTGGTCCCCCAGTGCTGCGACGTTCAGTTGTTGATGAATAATTTGATCGTGTAGGTCTCGATCCATCTCTTGATGATGAAGAGTTCTCGGTTGTTGACGAGTAAGAGTAAGATGTAGAAGATTGACGTGTTGACGGTGTCTCATTCAAACTCGAGTATACACGAGGATTGGATAAACCACTCTAGAAAAGTTAGTTGGTAACAAACAAAAAAAGGAGAGATAGAAAGTCAGTCTGTTGAAGTTTTCTCATTTTCTCAAAATTAATTATTGCTAACATTTAACATTCAACAAATTGTTTATGATTTTTAAGATGGTAGCCTAATATTTAGAAATATGATATTTTTGGATATGTACACATGAACATGATTCATTTGCCAATGACTGATACAATTTTTCTGCTTTGGACTTTAATTGAAAAACTTCCATATTCTGACATGAAGGATATTTTAATTTTCAACTTGTAATTAATTTCATTTTAGAATGAGATTTCAATAAAAAGTACACAAAGTTAGATTTCGTAAAAATACAAAAAGAAATTTATTCGTCTGTTTAATTAATTTATGATTTTGACAAAAAAAAATTCAATCTCTATGTTAGTACAAACTAAAACAAACTTTCCATCTTTTTTAAGGTTTTTCTAGTTGTAATTTTGTTTCCGTCAATTTTGTTTATAAATGTCTAATGAAATCTAAAATTTATTTCGGAAAATCAAAATTTCGTATTTGTTCAATAGATTGGATTTTTAAATTCACGAGAAAGTAAAGGTTTTCCATGGAGTCTTGGAAGAACTACATCCAAACTCTGTTTGTCTGTTAAGTAAGGTGTGATTCCATCAGCATTTCGAATTCTTTGTTGACGATGAATTTCTGTAAATACTTTTTCTCTTGTATGGTCGCGAGGTGACATGTATGGTTCTAAAGGTCGCAATTGTGATTCGGGTTTCGCTCTGATTTCTTTCTTCAATTTGTCAACGATCGATCCTTCATGTCTCATGTCAGAATTAGGATTTAATGGTCTACGCTTTCCAAAAGCCGTTACAGGGTCCGCAATCAAACTGGGACGGGCAACAAATGGAACCTTTTCCCAAGGCACTTCTCGTCTCTACAGATTGAGTGGAATGAATTGTCTTGATCTTTTGCTTTTCCAATAACTTAAATTCTAATATTGTGATTTTCTTTAAAAAAATTTCCTCTTAAACTTATCAATTAAGGTGAAAAACGGGTTATTAGAATAAGCAAAATTGGCAAAATAATGAGTGCATTAATGATATGACTACTTGTAAAGATATTATGATAGAGAAATAGATAGATATATAAGTATAATTAAGAAAAATCCTCAGATTCACTGTTCATTTTTATATTGTATTAAATGCAATCATTTAATTAAAGATAGAAAAGTTCGAAGGTATAAAAAAATTCATTCAAATATTTGAATCAACAAATCAAACTTAGATTTCTTCCACCTACATAGGTACGAGTTTCAGACTTTTTATTGATGAAACAAAGAAAAACTTTTTCGTCTGCTTTTTTTGATGTCTATCGTAAAATTTAATTAATCGCAATGTTTTAGAAATGCGTTGTCTGTTTCGTGTTAAATTAATTTCCTGACATCGCAAGTAGTGAAATGTGTAAAAGTATTTGAGTTTTTCATTAATATTTTTTTCTGAATTTAATTCAGTCGAATTCATCAAACTCAATGAATCCTCGAAATATTTCCGAGGTTCAGACTTTCTATATTTTTTTCCTTGACTTTTTTAAAGCATTTCGATAATTTCGCAACTTGAAAACTAATTTTAAACGTTTTTATTTTTATAAAATATTTATTTCAATGTGGTTTAGAGATTGAACTAAAAAATTATTGTTCCTTAAAAAATGGGAAGCTGATGTACTCTTGCTTCAAATGAAGCATCATTTAAATGTGGGAAGATTTGAGAATGTGAATTTAGTTTGTTTATATTTGAATTTCAAACATATTTTTCCAGTCCAATGTAACATTATTATTACGATGACTCAAGTTTTCATAATTTTAGAGCCTTGTCATTTTTTTACAAAATTTGATCTTGGTCATTTCTTCTTCTACGTATTTATAAATACAGTGGAATTTCGACGATTGTTGGTTTTCATGATTTTCACGACATTCATTAAATAAATAAATAAATAAAGTATCTGATGACACCAATAACAAACTTTAATATATCCTTGCAGGCACTATGAAGCATTAAATGTAGAATTTTTCATAGAATAATAATGAGAGAATATTTCAATAAAAATGGCATTGATATTTTATCAAATATGTTTCATTAAATATCAACGCCACTTTCAACAAAAATTTTTACATCGTAATGCGATAATTTAAAAATATGTTGAATGAAATCAGTGGTTGTAAGAGACAAAAAATATTAGATGTAGAATGTAATGTTCAAGTTAAAGTTTATTATTCCTTCGTAAGATATTTTCAAGAGTGATTTAATGAATTTATTTTTAGTTCCGTTTCACGAATATACACCAACGCACACGTTTCTCTAACCGATGACGCTTTAAAATCTCAGTTTTTTCGCGAAATGAAAAAAACGAAAACAACTGTACGGGAAATGTCTAATTTTAATATTTCAACTTTTTTGTTTTAACGTTCTTAAACAAGATTTTATTCTTCATCAATATTTTCTCCGATAGTTTTGTTATTAATTCATCAGTTTTATTCGAATTCAATTCACTTCGCATCATTTCAAGGCTTATTTTCCTTGATCTCATTTCAACATACAATGAAAGCAAAAAATTCCCTATAATAAATTGTTTTAAGCGAGGTTTTAAGCTTAAAAGGAAATTTTTTATGTTTGGCAATCACAACGTTTTCACAGTAATTTCTTTTTTTTTCTTTCTTGTGTTTATGATTAAACAGTGATTTTCATGAAAATTTCAGAATTTGAGATATAGGTATTCTAAATGATTAGATAAAATTACACAGAAATATTATTCATAAAAAACACTCTTCAATTTGGGCACATCCATGATTATTTTCACACATTTTCCTTTCAAATTTTTTTTCGTAATGGTTCATTCAAAAATCCACACAATAAACGAAATCCTACCGTAACAGTGTAAGATGAAATTGTTGGTCGTGAATAAGCAGGACGACGGCTTGTATAGTAATCGGTATCGTAAACCATTTTCGTTAAATATTTTTTTCCAGCAAAGTTCAGCAAGAAAGAAAATGCACTTAAATTTCACAAAGTTTTCACTTCTTCTTATTAAAACTTTGAAAGATTTCTTTAGCTTTTTTTACTTCAAGCCAGTCGAACAGTCGGAGATGATCTAAAAATGAAAATTTCGTGATGATTGGGATATTCACAGGAATATTTACTTTTTCGCTCGGGAAGTTTATATCTGATCTATGAGCAAATTTCAATTTTTCATCGTTTTCACGAATACAAATAACAAGCCATAGGAACCTTCTTTTCGTGATGTTCTATTTTAAGAAAAATCTTCTCTTCGTTTCTTTGGAAGATGAAAATGAGCAAAATCTGACAAAGTGGAATGTTTATTATTGAGCATAAGCGTCCTAGAGCGTATCATTTTTTGATTGAAGAATCATGACTTAATGATTCCAGAATCATATTTATTAAATGCACACCGAAACTTCTTTACGGAAGAGTAATAAAATTTCTCTTCTTAACTTCATTCCACGGTGAAACAATGAAATACATAAAGGCGGCAATTTAGCCATTTAAATAACCACTTGGTAATTAAATTAAAGCTGAATAGCTTTATGACTTGTGTTTAAACTCAAATTTCTCTACTCTAATTGATCCAGGCCAAATAAAACATGTTTTCACTTACTTTTTTTTTCAATAAATTGAATAAAAAAACCTTCAAATAAATCGAATTCTTTAAATTGCTACGTTATTTATTTTACAAATATATCCACCTATATGTAGATTAATAAAATATTTGTTTCTCCTCGGGTTTAAATTCAATATTTTTTTTGTTGCATACACATGAAGAAAGTTTTACTCTTTTTTTCAAATCCCTATCGGAGAATTCTCTTCATATTTTTTGTCAACCTCAAAATATTTTAGAGAGTATGCTAATTAAGTAATTATAATCATGACAAAAAAATAACTACAAGGATGAAAATATTTGATTAATGAAAAAGCTACTAAATCCATCACTCGGATTAGAAATGAAATTTAAATAATTTACTGTTTTCAAGACATCTATTTGGTACTGTTATCAGTAATTTGTTTGTTTATATAAGAATACAATTTGATAGTAGCATTTCTGACAGTTTTATTTCTCATTAAATAGACTGTTCATTCAAATCTTTTTAAAAATACTACGCAACTTCTAATTCATTCGGAATGTGTCTTACTTATAGAGAATTTAGAAATTTTGGTGACAGTTGTTTTCAAACACCGAACAGTGTTGGTTAAAAGTCCAAATTATAATAATTGTCATTGCAATTTGCATTCAAAAATTAAAATAGAAACAATAAACATGACCTTTAATTTATCTACTTATAAAAATATTCATTTGATAACGAATGTTGGATCATTCGATGTTAAAAACCTACAGAGATAATTTTTACTCAATGATTGACAAGATCATTCAAAATAAAGATTTATCAGCCATGAGTTTATTCTGATAACAAGTAGAATTGTAGAAAAACATCTCAAATTGTTTAGTTAAAGTTATGTTGTTATATTCGAGTGAACAAATGAAACAAATGAAAAAAAAAAAGTGTCTTTAATTGTGAAAACATCTGTAAAATACAATTTCCAGTAAACCAAATGATATGTCTTTAAACATAGAAATTCAGTATGATGTAAAACCATTTAATGGCGTAAACAAAGTTTTTAATGAAGCTCAGGTTAGTTTTTGAATTTAATATGAACCAAACAATATTTACTGATTAATTAATATTTAAAACCTTTTAGGAGATATTAATAACCAAAAAAGATGTTACAAATGGAACACCAAAATTTAATGAAGAGCACGTAAGAATTTAATTCAATTATTTAATTTTTTATGAGCACTCATTACTTTTTTTATTAGGAAAAATCACAAAGCGCATCTAAAGAAAAATGGGGAAAAGACATTGAATTTTTGTTATCTTGTATTGCTTTATCAGTTGGATTAGGAAATGTGTGGAGGTGATAAATATATTACTTTTATTTAAATATTTATTTTGAGTATGATTTGTTTCAGATTTCCATTTACAGCACTAGAGAATGGTGGCGGAGCTTTTATTCTTCCTTATATAATAGTTTTGATATTTGTTGGGAAACCTCGTAAGTGAAATATCATTAACAAGTAAATATTGTTTCCGTACTCGTCAAAATTTCATTCCTTCTTCTTTTTGCTACTGACATTTCACGTGATCTCAGGTTCATAATATTTATTTAAATTTTTTAATGACATTGATTTTTGTGTGCATGAAATGTGAATAGAAATTTGAATTTTTTTAATGATCTTCAAATTTTTATGTAGTTTATTATATGGAATTAGTGCTAGGTCAGTTTTCATCACGTAAGTCTAACGATAAATTGTTAATACAAATAATTATTGTTTTAAGTCATGAAATGTTTTCTCCAAAGGTGGATGCATAAAAGTTTACGACATGTCACCTGCTATGAGGGGAATTGGGGTTGGTCAAGTCATTTCAACATGCTTTGTAACAACATATTATGCATCTCTGATGGCTTTAACAATACACTACTTTCTAGTTTCATTTAAAGATCCTTTACCATGGAGTATGTGTAAGGAAGAATGGAATGTATCATGCATTGACAGCAGTTCAATTATCTCGAATATTTCCAGTATGAAAATCAAGTCATCAACCGAATTATATTTTATGTGAGATATGCTTTTATTCTTAAAGATGTCATCTAAAATATTTCTTTCAGAAAAGATGTTTTAAGAGAAGAAAATATAACTGGTGGAGGAATTGGTGTTCCCAATTGGCAACTTTGTGCATGCTTAATAGTGACATGGACTATCATAAGTTGCATTCTGATTAAAGGCATTAAGAGTTCTGGAAAGGCTTCATATATACTGGCATCATTCCCATACTTTGTGATGATAATTCTGCTTATTCGAGCCTTGACACTCGAAGGTGCAATGGATGGAATTAAATATTTATTCACTCCACAGTGGGACAAAATATTGGAAGCTAATGTTTGGTATGCTGCCATAACTCAAGTTTTTTATTCTCTTGCTGTATGTTTTGGTTCTATTATCATGTATTCGTCATACAATCGTTTCAATCAAAATATTTATAGGTAAATGTTATTTAACATTTTTATTACACAAGAAATTTTTCGATTTCGATATTTTCAGAGATGTCAACACAATTACAATATTGGATACTTGTACATCGTTGCTTGCAGGGCTTATAATATTTGGCATTCTTGGTCATTTAGCATTTGTGATGAAAGTAGATATCTCAGAAGTTACCAAATCAAACATAGCATTGGCATTTATGGCGTATCCAGAAACAATATCAAAAATTGATTTATTTCCTCAGTTTTTTTCGGCCGTTTTCTTCGTCATGCTTTTTATTTTGGGAATGGGTAGCAACATAGGCATGTGCGGATGCATCATTACTGTCGTTAGAGATAAGTTTCCACAAATACCGTGTTGGAAAGTTGTGCTGACAATTGCCGGGATTGGGATAGCAATTGGAAGTTTATATACAACACCTTATGGACAATATCTAATTAACTTCCTAGACTTCTACGGTGCGTCATTTGTGGCTTTAATACTTTCTATCGTTGAGTTACTAACAGTTAGTTGGATTTATGGAGTCGATCGTTTTTGTGGTGATATCGAGTTCATGCTGAAACGAAAAACAGGGTTGTACTGGAGAATCTGCTGGGCCTTCATCACACCATTCATGATGATTGGAATTTTTTTATATTTCATAGCAACGTGGCGAACATTAACTTACCAAGGGATTGAATACAGCTCAAAAATGCACAGTAAATTCATAATTCTTTCGTTCTATGCTATTTAATTGTTAACTTTATTATTCTTAGAGTTTGGATGGTTCATATCATTCTTCTGCTTGTCTCATCTTATAATTATAATTTTTTACGAAATATTTAAGGAAAAATGTAAACTTTCAATCCATAGCATTGTGAATGCATTCAAACCTAGCTCCAGTTGGGGTCCACTTGAACCTGGAAAGTGTAAGTTTAATTATTTAAACTATTTAAAATGTGTATAAAAACTTATTGAAATCTTTTTACAATCATAGTGCAAGAGTATAAAGAATTTGTGATGCTTCGAAAAGCTGACATTAAAAAGCAGAGAAGTTTATTTAAAAAAATAAAACAAAACGTGTTTGGAAAATAACTTAACTTCAATGAATTTTCCATGAATATGTTTGATTGTGACAATTCTAGAATATTTATAAGATTTATTTGTAAGTTTAACAGCATTTAAATCATATAAATTCCATTGAAATATGTATAAAAATGTAAAATAACAGCAAAATAAATAAATTTTATTTTTTTTGTTTATTCACACAATAAAAATTAAACATCTTATTATGTGACGATTGATTATGTAAAAGCAATATTAATCAATGCTTCAAAATTGAAAGGGCTTTTAATGTACATTAAAAGTTTTGTTCATTAACTTAAGATGTCAACAATGTTTACTTGTCTTTACACTTTAAAGATTTCGCAGATGTTTTATATTCAATAGTTGTATAATATCACAGCTGAACAATAAGCTGTTCAATTTTGTTTTGATTTCTTATTATGTTAGTGTAACTACATTTTTGTAAATAAAAAATCAAGAGATACCGTAAAGGTGAAAAAATTGAATGTTTTCATGCCGCAAATGAGTTTTACGTCATTTCAACATGTTGCTTCAACATTATGTCATTGTTTTCTTGTCACATGTGTTGACCGTTGTAAGTGACAACAGATTATTTTTGCAGAACTAATAATCTGTTGTCAAATGAATGAAGATTTTTTATATTTAGTAAACCAACGTTGATCGAAAATGGTAATATCAATTTTCTCAACAAAATTATGAAAATTTTTTGTTCAACGTTCATTAATTCTAATTTTCCAGTTGTTGATTTCGCACTTTTACAAGTTTTTGTTTATGATTGAAATATCATTCAATTGTAACTTTTTTCCATCTGTCTTATTCATATTGAAACCGAAAATAAAATGATGGTAAGTAAGTAGATACCTAATAATGCGATCTTCTTATTTTAATTCTATAAATTTTCCACACTAGTTAAGAAATAAATGTCAAGAGAATTGTTATAAAAATTCTTAGGAGAATTCTCTTGCAGTAAGGTTGACGCAAGGGGTAAATCATCGTAGTGCTTCTGCCCGCTGCCTTCAAATGAAGCATCAAAAATCACTAGTGCTTTTCAAGAAAAATGGCCTTTTTCCAAGAATTTGTTTACTTTTTCTTGGAATTTGTCTAGTGCTTCAATGCAGCAATAGTGCTTTTGCCCTCCAATTTTTTCCGATGATTTACCCCTTGGGTTGACGTGCTTCAAGTGTCTCTCTTTTGCATGGAAACTTTTTCAACATGTTAATGATCACAAAACTTTGGATAGAAACGAGCAATACAAGTAATTTGTTAGTATACCTTCAGCTATTGTGTAAACAAGTTCAACAAAACGAGGCTTTGAAATTATCGGATTGTTAAGATTATATTGAAGCAAAGAGTATTGTATGTTTACTTTTTTTCTTTAATAGATAGATTTTAGTTTAAGCATTAACCTTCGAACAAGCACCTAATTTCTTTATCAATTCATTCATTCGTTACTTTTATTTATGGTTTTTTTAAATTCATTAACAAATGCACAGCATCTTAACTTAAGTATCTCAAGAAGGAACTACGAAACATCACTTTAACAATCTTTTGGAATTCGAAAATTTTTCCATTGATCGGAAAATGTAGTGAAATGACCTTCATTATTGCAACTGATTTTATACATCAAAAAAACTGGTTGTAAATTACTGTTGATACTCCAAAATTTTCTGTGAGTCGTTAAAATATCAGTCATTAATTTTGTTAAACTTGATACTATCTAACTCTTAGCTAAAGACAACATTTAGATAATGGTTTTTTAAAGTGATTTAGAATAACTGTGATGGTTCTAAATGGTTACTTGATTTTGCATAACTTTTAATTAGAATTCTATCAATTATGTTTCTCTCGGGGAACAAGAACAGTTCTATGCTTTTCTCTATTTTCAATTTCAATATTTAGAAAGTTTTAACTCATAAAGTTTAAAAATATATTTAGAATGACTAATGGATATGATAATCCATCTTTCGTGGGAGACACGGTGTTCACAATCCCCGAAAGGAAGAATAATAACGCAGAACTGATAGATGTCGAAATTAAACATCCAAATTATGCATCAACTACAGTTTCACAAGTTCATGATGACAAAAGTTCAAAGAAAAATGGGAAAACCACAAAACATAAAGAACGTGAGAGTTGGGGGAAAGGAATTGAATTCCTTCTCTCCTGCATTGCTATGAGTGTTGGTCTTGGAAATATCTGGCGATTCCCTTTTATTGCGTTAGGTAAGCATACTATTTATAAATAAAAACGGAAAATAATTGATTTCATTTTTAGAAAACGGCGGTGGTGCTTTTGTGATACCTTACATAATTGTGTTGCTTCTTGTGGGAAAACCGGGTAATTATGAAGCTAATTAAATCTGAATATCGATTTTATATACTCTTTTAAATTTTTAACTATTTTAAGTCTACTTCATGGAGATGGTCCTTGGCCAGTTCTCATCTCGCGGAAGTGTTAAAGTTTTTGACTGTGTACCTGCAATGCGTGGTATAGGTGAGAGTAATAAACGAAATAAAAAATAAAATAATTATAAAAAAATTATTAAAGGTGTCGGTCAAGTAGTTTCAATCACAATTGTAGCTACTTATTATTCATCTTTAATGGCATTGACTTTAAACTTCTTCGAAAGCTCATTCAGTTCAACATTACCTTGGAGTAGTTGCAAACCAGAATGGGGTTCTTGTATTCCATCTGGACAGAATGGTGTAGTAAACATGACATGGAATAATTCAACAAAATCATCGGCTGAATTATATTTCTTGTAAGATTTCTTGTATTATAAATCGTTTTATATTCTTAATTTTATTATTTTCATAGGAAAGAAGTGTTGAAAGCAAAAGAAAGCATAAATGATGGGATTGGAGTGCCAAGTTGGAGACTTGTGATATTTTTAGCAATTTCTTGGACGCTTGTTTTTTTGATACTCATTAAAGGTGTCAAAAGCTCAGGAAAAGCATCATACGTACTTGCAATATTTCCATATTTCGTTTTAACTATTCTTTTGACAAGAGCGTTGACTTTACCTGGTTCAATGAATGGAATCATTTATTTTCTTTCACCACAATGGGATAAAATTTTTGATCCGAAAGTTTGGTATGCTGCAGTAACTCAAGTTTTCTTTTCTCTCTCAATTTGTTTTGGAAACATAATCATGTATTCATCTTACAACAAATTTGGACATAACGTTTATCGTGATGCAAACATTGTGACGACCTTAGACACATTTACTTCACTGTTAGCTGGTTGTTGTATTTTTGGTATTCTCGGTCATCTTGCACATGAACTTGGAGTTGAAGATATTTCAAAAGTGACTAGAAGTGGAGCTGGACTTGCTTTTATTTCATACCCAGATGCTATTGCTAAATTCAAAACATTACCTCAAGTCTTCTCAGTTTTATTCTTTTTAATGCTTTACCTTCTTGGCATCGGTAGTAATGTCGCAATGATGTCTTGCATAATGACAGTTGTGAGAGATAGATTCAAGAAAATAAAAAATTGGCAAATCGCTCTTGTGATTGCTATTTTTGGGACTGGTTTTGGCTCCATTTATATGACACCGGTAAGGCGATATTTTTGTTTAAAATGTTTTTAATAAATTTTTGACATTTATTTTTTAAATGTTTATAATAAATTTTTGACATTTTTTTTTAGAGCGGACAGTCAGTTCTTAAACTTGTAGACTATTATGGGGCATCGTTCGTTACATTTATATTAGCAATTGCCGAACTTTATACATTTTGCTTTATTTATGGAGTTGAACGTTTGTGTAATGATGTAGAGTTTATGTTAGGCTTTCGACCTAATTGGTTTTGGAGAATATGCTGGAAATTCGTTACACCTGGACTCATGACAGTTATTTTGGTTTACACGCTTTTTAATCTTGAACCATTGCAAGATAATGGAAAAGATTATCCTCTAACGGCACATTTGATTGGAATGTTTATTTCATTCTTGGGATTAGTGCAGTTGCCAGGATTTATGGTGTACGCTATTTTAAAACAGAAGAAGAATACTTTACTTGAGGTATTTCAAAAAAAAAAACTAAGGAAATAAAATTATTTTTAAAAATGTTTGAATTTCAGAGAATCAAAGCTGCATTCGAACCAACTGAGAAATGGGGCCCTATTGATCCAAAACTTAATTTAAAATATAAAGAATATGTAAATAAGAAGAATTAGGTAGAATGTACATTAAATTGCTTTAATTTGATTTATACATATCATGAGTTTATGGTAGAAAACTAGAAAAATAAAAATTATGATTTTTAATTCTTCCCAAACTGTCTTTATTGATTAAACTCGAAATGTAATTAAAATATTTATTCCCTTGCTCCAATTTTTTTTTGTTTTTACCAAACTTCACATCTTTCAACAGGATTCATTGTGGAACTTTCTGGACAATTGAAATCTTTTGAGAATTCTTTCATGTTAATGAATGGTCCCAAAACTCGAAATTCATTTGGTGAATGTTTTCCTGTTAATATTCTTGTTTGTAATTCTTCAGGTCTAAATTTAGCACACCAAGTCTGTGCAGAAGCAATCCAGAAGAGTTGATTAACAGAATAATTTAATCCGGGAAGTTGCAATTCCTTTCCGTGCTTTTTTGAATATTCTTGATAAGCCAAATATGCTTCTTTGACTCCTCCATTGTCAGCAATGTTCTCACCTTGTGTGTTGATTCCATTCAAATTTAGACCTGTCAGAGATTCTGTGAAATTTCCATATTGATCAATAATACATTTTGCTTTCACTAAATATGCATCTGCTGTTGATTGTTGCCACCAGTCTTCAAGGTTTCCATTTGCATCAAATTGGCGACCTACGTCATCAAATCCGTGAGTAATTTCGTGACCAATAACAACGCCAATGGCACCATAATTCATGAATAACGGTCGATCAGCTGAGAAAAACTGGCCTTGAAGAATTCCAGCTGGAAAACCTAAAATAAGTTTGAATGACGACCTCATCATGATTATATTTCTAACATGCAACATTAAAGCTTACGAATAGAATTTTCAATAGGAGAATAAGCAGCATTTACAACGGCAGCTTTGGAATGAGTTTCCCAGTCGCTTTTATTAACAGATTTTCGAAGTTTTTCATACTCACGATCAGCTTCAAAGATGTTAATGCTTAAAATTGATTCAAGGAATTTGTTTTCATCAATTGTGACATTCTTATAAAATTCAGTGAGTTTCTTATCATCTCCTAATTCATCGGGATATCCTATATGAGTCACCATGTTTCTAACTTTATCCAATGCTACAGATTTTGTCTGTTTATCCATCCAGGGAATTGTTTTTAAGATTTTTTCAAATTCTTGCTTAATATTATTAACCATATCCAGAGCGACACTTTTTGACATTTCATTGAAATATTCTCGGACATATAACGCAGCAGAAGCTATTTCGAATTTACTTGTCACTAAGTTGATACACTCTCTCCAACGCGGTTCTTCCGTTTGTTGTCCAATAAGTGCGCCAGCATATGCGAGTTGACGTTTTCTCAATTTATCTGTCAAATAATTTGTCGACTCTGCAGCAACTCGCCACATGATATAATTTGCTATTGCTCGTTTTGGTGTTTCTTCCAACAGTTTACCAAGTTGTTCAAAGAATTCAATATCATAAACAACGATCACTTCATCGTCCATTACTTGAGTAGTTTCCGGAAGAATTTTGTTAAAATAGTCTTTCTATAAATAAAGACAAGAATTAAAATTGAGAATCATAAAAGATAAAAATAATAATAATTCTTCTTACCCAATCGTTGTACGGGAATCTTTTTTGAACTTCTCCAATTGTCATTGGGTTGTACAAAGCTGACGCATTTCGACGCTTTTCGCTTGGTAGTGAAATCTTCAAATATCACGAATAATTGAAATTTCAAGTAAAATGGACAAATTATCCCACTTAAAAAATTATATCTACTTACATTCGCAAGACCAAATTCAAATTCCAAAGCCTCTCTCATTTGTTCTTCTGCATGTTTTCTGTCAGCACCATAAAGAACAGCCATATCCACTTGAAAACTATGGTATGCACTCACAACGGGATGGTCAATTCCTTTTTTCAAGAAAACTTGACTTAAACCAAGATCCGATTGATCAATCTAAACAAAAAGAAAATAAAAACAACTGCAGTTGTCTTAAAATATTCAATATTGTGAGAAATTCATCTTACATCAATAATTTTGGTAGAAGAATTTTTCAAATCAGTTGAAACCGAGAAATCAATTACGTAGTCGACAGAATAGCCATATTTACGACAATTTATTGCTGCTTTTTGCCAGCTCCATGCTTTTTCATCCCAATTATCTCCTTCAACGGCTGGCCATCCACCCATTGCTTTATGGATATTTCTGATTGGATCAAGTTCTCTCTTTTCAATAAAATCTTTGAATTTAATTATAATCAATTAATCTGCATTTGACTCTTCTTGGTTTTGTTTTACAAACCTTTATTTAAACAAGCGGAATAAAGTTTTTTCACCATTTTCGAAGGTTCAATTTCATTTGGTTTCGTTGGTGCTGTAATAATATTCCGCATTTGATCTTGAAGCACATCACGAACAACACTAAACCCGTCCAAAACTGTTTTGTCCTCCGGAATTTCAATGTTTTTGATGTAACGACCACATGCAAATATATAAAAATTTTCGCATGGAGAAACTGAATTGTCAATTTTATCTGAGATGGTTTTTGCAGCTTTTTTACATTCATCAGTCATACAAACAATGTTGTTTCTAGTTGAACTATGACGAGTTCTTGCAGAACCACCTTTAATATGTGATGTATCTGATAAATTTAAATCGAAGGTTTAAATACAATTTTCCTTATTTTCTTAAGGAAAATATTACCACAATTGCAAAATATCCAAGCAAACAGAAAGATCTCCAAATATCTTCTACACATTTAAAAGATATTACAAAAGTGTATAAATTCAATATCAAAAATTCTAAAATATATACTTACTTCATTTTTGTAAATTTTTGTTGAATCGGATAAATATTTAATGATTAGACCTCACGTTCTGACTTCAATCAACAGACTGAGATTTCTTTTTCCAATTTCAAGTTATATAAAACAAGTCACTGAGTTAGTTTGGTTTGTTAATTTAAATGAGTTCTTCGAAATCACTTCAGATAAATTTGTTTGCTTCATGCAGGGGTTTAGATATTTATGATATTGATGAAATTCATTTATGCCGTTTTGTTGTTCATTTCCGAATATTAATAACTAGATACAAGTTCATCATTCTGGAGCTACATCAAAACGCTGAAATGTTATTGTTTTGGATAAGTAAAAGGCTAAAAACCTGTTCTTTGTGAGAATTAAAAAAAAATTTAAAACCAAAATAAAACTTGTTTATTCTTGAACGAGTTTCAGAAAAAGAATTTACAAATTTTGTTGTAGAAAAATCAATTATATTCGTCATTCATCTTTTAAGACTATCACTTGAATCTCAACACTTTTTCTTTCAAAACCTTTTTCATAGTTTATCTTTAATTCACTTTCGAGTTCATACTTTTTTAAAAATAAAACTAAATAATTGTTGATATGCTTGATGCGTAATGATTATTACATTGTTGGATTATGAAACCATGTTTGTCTCTTTCCGCGTGTGGTATTTTTAGGTTTCACAAATTGTTGGATTTTTCTGATTATATTATTCTTATTTCCTTCTTGCAGTCTGCACTTACTGAATGAAATTTCACAGTTGGATTGACTTCTGGCTACTTCAATGGGATTCATTAAATATTTATGATTAATGAATCGATCAACCAATTTTGTGCTAAAAGAAATGAAATTTGCTTTTTAACATAAAATCTTTCTTACGGTTTCTCAATCTTAAATACATACTTAATAATTCCGGCGATTAACTTATCAAAACCATGGCTATTCTCATTGTTTCTTAGACTATTTTTGATATAATCGCACATTGCTCGTTGACTACAAGAAATTACATCGATATCAATATTCATTAGTTCTTCATCCATATGGTTAAACATTTCCCATATCCTTTCATCAAAATCATAATCGTAATCTAATGAAAAATATCCTCAATAAATGACATTTTATGTTCCGATAAATTAAATTAAATAAATCTTACTTCGTCCTAGAGGAATTTTATTTTTACTCCTGAAGAATGATTTATTACTGAAAAGCTTTTCTCCTCGAAGGAATCTTGTGAATCCACCAATGAAACTTCCAATAATTGTGACGATCACACCAGTGAAGATCGCTTATTAATTTCAAAAATAATTTATAAAAATAAAAATAATGAAGTTCTACATATTAAATTTATTTTACCTGCTAAATTAATATTTACAAAAGGTTGACCGCCAGTTTCACCTCTTCTTGTTGGTACTGATAAAAATGGGACAGCAAATTCAAAAAGAACCTTTAAATGAAATAAAATTTGTTTATAGGTTTCTTAACTTTTTATGTTATTCAGATTTACCGGAAGGTCATCATCTGTGATTTTAAAAGAAATGAATTGCGTATCTTTCAAAGCCTGGCGTCCATTCCGATAAGAATGATCAAGTTGTGTATCTCCAATAACAACATTTCTATCAAAGTTTTCAAAACTAGGGTTTTTTGATCCAAATCTCTTTGCGCGTGTACATTTTTTAGGTTTCACATATCGTTGAATTTTTCTAATTAGATTATTCTTATTTCCTTCTTGCAGTCTGCAGCTACTGAATGAAGTTTCACAGTAGGATTTACTTCTGGCTACTTCAATGGGATTCATCAAATATTTATGATTAATGAATCGATCAACAAATTTTGTGCTAAAATAAATGAAATTTGCTTTTAAGATAAAATCTTTCTTACAGTTTCTCAATCTTAAATATGTACATACTTAATAATTCCGGCAATTAACTTTTCAAAACCATGGCTACTCTCATTGCTTCTTAGACTACTTTTGATATAATCGCACATTGCTCTTTGACTACAAGAAACTACATCGATATCAATATTCATTAGTTCTTCATCCATATGGTTAAACGTTTCCCATATCCTTTCATCAAAATCATAATCGAAATCTTATGAAAAATATCCTCAATAAGTGACATGTTATGTTCCGATACATTAAATTAAATAAATCTTACTTCGTCCTAGAGGAATCTTGTTCTTTTTACTTCTGAAGAATGTTTTACTGCTGAAAACTTTTTCTCCTCGAAGGAATCTTGTGAATCCACTGAAGAGACTTCCAACAATTGTGATGATCACACCAGTGAACACCGCTAGTAATTTTCAAGCATAACTTATAAAAATTATGAGGGTTTATTAAATTTAAATTTTACCTCCTAAATTAACATTTAAAAAAGGTTGACCAGCAGTTTCACCTCTTCTTGTTATTATTGTAATAAACGGGATTGCATATTCAAAAAGAACCTTTAAATGAAACAACATATGTTCAAAAATTTCTTAACATTTTGTTTTTATGTTTTTCAAATTTACCCCAATGTCTTCATCTGTGATTTTAAATCCGACAAATTGTGTATCTTTTAAAGCCTGGCGTCCATTGCGACAAGAATGATTAAGTTTTGTGTCTCCAATAATAATAGTTCTATCAAAGTTTTCAAAACTACAATTTTTTGCAATATCAAATGCTTCACTTTTCAAAACTATGGCATAAAATGCAAGACTTAGAAAAAAATACATTTCAAAACTATTTGATATATTAAAGGGTGATTATTGGATGTCGTCTTGATATAAACTGAACCTTCAAAGTCAAAAAGAGACATTACTTGCATTTGCGAATCAACTACTCTGTTAAACCGAGTGTTAAAATGTTGTCTACTTCCGTTAACATTCGGAAAAAGACTTTATTAAATAAAGATTATCTTTCCATGCGTGCACATATGCATGCATATATGTACTATTGAATTAAATAAGAAAGCGAGAAATTGTATTTTGATTAACAAAATGATTTAATTTATGTAATATATTTTATTAAATTTCTTTCAAATATTTCAACAATTTTATTATTAATTCATACTACAATAGAATAGACTACAATAGAACCTACGAAAAAACAGATGTGCTCATGTAGATATATTTTGCTACGAGCACTAACTTAATATTGTAATGATATTATAGAAAGTTTCTTAGTTATCAATTTTTTTTGGTTTACTTATGAAATAATATATATTAGGTATATTTTGTTTTTTTCTCAAGCTGCTTCAAGTTAGTTATAAGGATAGTGTGACATTTATTATTGATTATGTGACATATATTTAGTTATGACCTCATTCATTTAATGAGAGATTAGATAAGCTTTTATCGCTTCATCGACCAAGATAATAAACAAAAATTTGATGCCACAATCAATTAATCAAATACAAGTTTTATTATGAATGAATAGAAAAAATCTTTTAATTTAATGCTTTCAAATATTTCTTCATTTTATTTAACATTATATGTAAGTATTTAATATCTACATATTTGACATAAGCAATGCTTATTAAAATGCCTTGAAAAATGTTTCATTATCTACAATATAAATAAGGGAATATTATACTTAATCTTATTAAGAATTTGTGAAGTGAAATGATTAAATTGATTTATTTTTATTTATTCCTTATTTTTAAGGGAAAATAATACCACAATTGTAAAATATCCAAGCAAACAGAAAGATCTCCAAATATCTTCTACACATTCAAAAGATATCATCAAAGTATTTCATTCCAAACCATGCAATGTTATTGTCAGAGATTCAATAAAACATATCAGCATGATTTTGGATAAGTACGTTGCTAAAAACCTGTCCTTACTTGTGAAAAATAAATTTTTTTAAAAGAACACAATTATTACTTGTTTACTCTTAAACGACATTTAGAAAAAGAAGTTACAGATTTTGTTGTAGAAAAATCAATTATATTCATTTTTCATTTATATTCTAAGACTATAACTTTAATCTCAACACTTTTGCATTCAATGTCAAAGAAATCACAATTTATCTTTCACTCTCGAGTTCATACTTTAAAAATAAAACTAAATAATTGTTGATACGCATGATGCGTAATGATTATTACATTGTTGGATTATGAAACCATGTTTGTCTCTTTCCGCGTGTGGTATTTTTAGGTTTCACAAATTGTTGGATTTTTCTGATTATATTATTCTTATTTCCTTCTTGCAGTCTGCACTTACTGAATGAAATTTCACAGTTGGATTGACTTCTGGCTACTTCAATGGGATTCATTAAATATTTATGATTAATGAATCGATCAACCAATTTTGTGCTAAAAGAAATGAAATTTGCTTTTTAACATAAAATCTTTCTTACGGTTTCTCAATCTTAAATACATACTTAATAATTCCGGCAATTAACTTATCAAAACCATGGCTACTCTCATTGTTTCTTAGACTATTTTTGATATAATCGCACATTGCTCGTTGACTACAAGAAACTACATCGATATCAATATTCATTAGTTCTTCATCCATATGGTTAAACATTTCCCATATCCTTTCATCAAAATCATAATCGTAATCTAATGAAAAATATCCTCAATAAATGACATTTTATGTTCCGATAAATTAAATTAAATAAATCTTACTTCGTCCTAGAGGAATTTTATTTTTACTCCTGAAGAATGATTTATTACTGAAAAGCTTTTCTCCTCGAAGGAATCTTGTGAATCCACCAATGAAACTTCCAATAACTGTGACGATCACACCAGTGAAGATCGCTTATTAGTTTCATCAAAATAAAAATCATGAAGTTCTACATATTAAATTTAATTTCACCTGCTAAATTAATATTTACAAAAGGTTCACCGGCAGTTTCACCTCTTCTTGTTGGTACTGTTAAAAATGGAATCGCAAATTCAAAAAGAACCTTTAAATGAAATAAAATTTGTTTATAGGTTTCTTAACTTTTTATGTTATTCAGATTTACCGGAAGGTCATCATCTGTGATTTTAAAAGAAATGAATTGCGTATCTTTCAAAGCCTGGCGTCCATTCCGATAAGAATGATCAAGTTGTGTATCTCCAATAACAACATTTCTATCAAAGTTTTCAAAACTATGTAGGGTTTTTTGATCCAAATCTCTTTGCGCGTGTACATTTTTTAGGTTTCACATATCGTTGAATTTTTCTAATTAGATTATTCTTATTTCCTTCTTGCAGTCTGCAGCTACTGAATGAAGTTTCACAGTAGGATTTACTTCTGGCTACTTCAATGGGATTCATCAAATATTTATGATTAATGAATCGATCAACAAATTTAGTGCTAAAATATATGAAATTTGCTTTTGAGATAAAATCTTTCTTACAGTTTCTCAATCTTAAATAGGTACATACTTAATAATTCCGGCAATTAACTTTTCAAAACCATGGCTACTCTCATTGCTTCTTAGACTACTTTTGATATAATCGCACATTGCTCTTTGACTACAAGAAACTACATCGATATCAATATTCATTAGTTCTTCATCCATATGGTTAAACGTTTCCCATATCCTTTCATCAAAATCATAATCGAAATCTTATGAAAAATATCCTCAATAAGTGACATGTTATGTTCCGATAAATTAAATTAAATAAATCTTACTTCGTCCTAGAGGAATCTTGTTCTTTTTACTTCTGAAGAATGTTTTACTGCTGAAAACTTTTTCTCCTCGAAGGAATCTTGTGAATCCACTGAAGAGACTTCCAACAATTGTGATGATCACACCAGTGAACACCGCTAGTAATTTTCAAGCATAACTTATAAAAATTATGAGGGTTTATTAAATTTAAATTTTACCTCCTAAATTAACATTTAAAAAAGGTTGACCAGCAGTTTCACCTCTTCTTGTTATTATTGTAATAAACGGGATTGCATATTCAAAAAGAACCTTTAAATGAAACAACATATGTTCAAAAATTTCTTAACATTTTGTTTTTATGTTTTTCAAATTTACCCCAATGTCTTCATCTGTGATTTTAAATCCGACAAATTGTGTATCTTTTAAAGCCTGGCGTCCATTGCGACAAGAATGATTAAGTTTTGTGTCTCCAATAAT